AGCCAGAACTAGTTTCATGGCCTCTAGTTTCTAGCCTGATGCCTTAACCGCTACCGCTACACCAAATTCACTGTCATTGTTTATATACACTTTTCCAAGTCTTTTCTGGAGAATGGTGGTTCCCCTCCCTCCAATTTAGAGGGAGTATATAGAAAGAAGTTCCATTGCACAACCAGAAATCGGTTAGAAGCTTTGTCACCTGTGTCTTTAAAGGTAAAACAGTTATACATCTTGCATTGTAGTTGTAGGAAGATTCTAGAATAGAAAATATTGCGGGTTCTTTGGTTGGAGACAAGGCAAGATTATTATTTCTCTTCATAAATAGCAAAATAAAATTGATCAGATTTCATCACCACCATCACCATTTTTTAAGAAAAAATGCTATTGTTTACTGGCTGAACCTATTCCCTTAGGGCTGTTTGACGACAAGCATTTTTTTCTTTTTACTCATAGCAGTATAATTAGGGATTTGCTGCCAGGTTTTTTAGCCATAAGGTGGGAAGAAAAGTGTATCTGGTAATCTGAGGAAAAAAGTACCCTGTAAATCCTACTTCAATCAAGTTGGTTGAGAGAGAGAGAGAGATTTTTACAGTTAACAAAGTATGAGCCCACCCTGACTCAGGTCTTCCGTGTGCTTAGTTTCTAGTATCTGTTTTGTGGGATTGAATTGTAATCTTTTCAGGTCTGCTTTGGGTCATTCACTGCTATGAATGTGAGCCCCACTACCTAATTTCACACAAAGGCTAAAAATTCTTTTATTGAAATTGGCTATAATAATGGTCTTACAAGTCTGATTGTGCTGTACCTCCTCCTCTTGGTCCTCATAATTTAGTGAAGTAGAGGTTTTTGTCTGAGACTGTTCCAACTGTTATCTAAACATTTTGGATATTTTTTTTAAATGTTTTTGTGCCTTTTCTTAGGCAACTGTTTTGGTGCATCTTCCTTGCCTTCTACATGACATCTTTCCTCAGCTCTCCTCTCTACCTTGTCTTGTTATTTTCTATGGTTATAGCATTGTATGATTTTTTTAACAAGGAGCTTCGATAAGCTGCAGAGTTTAATAGGGTTCCCACGAGCCATTTCCATCATAGTACGGAATATATGGCTGTATATCCATAAATGTTTTCTGATTTTTTTATGTTTAATCTTTGACTTAAACTTGAACTACTTACAGTATATATGTCAGAGTTCAAATTGATTCATTGAATGAAAAACTAGGACACTTTTGTGTTGTACTTTTGTTTTCCTGGAAAGTTGAGACAGTGGTGGTTGAATTTTCTGGCAGTTTGTACTAGCTATTTCAAAGAGGTTTCTTCTTCTGTAGAAAAATGTAAAACACAAAGACCATATTGATTATCAGAAAGCAAAAGTTGCTTCGACCCTTGATCGCCTGGCACGCCATGTAGAAGTAGAGAAACAGCGGAAGGCAGAGAAAAACAAAGCTTTCAAGGTATGGTTCTTCGCCAGGATTAGTTATGGCACAAGTATTACAAGGTTATTTCTGTGTAATTGGGAACACAATTTAAACATTTCTTTACTTTATTCATTCTTAAACCTGAGCAGCGCAGTCGCCTAGAGTTGGAGTTCTCACCTCACAATCAGGAAGCTGGGAGTTTGATCCCAGGTAGTGGCAGATATTTCTCTCTCTGGATGCAATGAGTAATTGTCTGCTGCGAACTCCATGTAGGTGTCAGGAAGGGCATCTATCCGGTAAACACTTGAGCTCTATTCAGGCGCCCCAACTCCACCCCAATGCAAGGGATTAAAGGGTCATTAAATAAAAAAAAACCCATTCATGTGCTGTAAGTATCCATCAAAATCTCCCCGATCAGCAGCAATTCTTTAGTATGTTTCTGGGTTTTCCACTAATTTTACTATATCAGTTGCCACCCTCTAACTTCTTTATGGCCATTCTAGAAGAGACTCGGTAGTCTCTATACATACACCTTCTATACCTACCACTAATGAAAAATAATGTGATGTGCTACTTCTCTTAGTTTCTACTTTTAATTCATTTACACAACAATATTCTATCTTAATATCTCCTTCCCTTTTGAATACAGAGAACATAGCAAATTTAAAATGACGGTGAAATATAGTACATTTGAAATGATCTTAACTAGAAACTTGAAGCTAAGCTGAACAACTGCTGGTAGCGCTACCCTTCACTAGCAGCAATGTTGAGTATTTTCCTAAGGATTATTAAATTTATTTTTCCAACATAGATTTATAATTGTTTTGTATTTCTTTAGTTGTTTTTCATTTAACCTGTCCAGTTTTCAGCTAATTTATTTTTCCAACCATTGGGAATTTTAGGACAAAGTGAATTCACAACAAGCTCATGGACTGCAAGAACTGGAATTTATCCGGGGTCATAGTGACACAGAAGCAGCAAGATTGTGTGTGAATCAGTGGCTAAAAATGCCAGGTAATTGGCTACTTTGCCATTTGGAGAAAGGCAGAATCCCTGTTCTTCCAAAGAAATGGTTCTCCTTAACCATAGGTTGCTTCAGGAGTGTGGAATGGAGGAAGCAGAACAAAAAAAATAGCTTTTATTAGAAAGCACAAATGTTCCAACCTCATCATTTGCTTCAGGAAAATACCACAGTTAAATGGTGTGGTGAATTATTTGCATGTATAGTGTTTTTGCGGCATATGCTGAGTGCTCAAAATATTTCATGTGAAGAGCTGTACTCAATCTATTGTGATTTTGGAAGTCATCACAACTATCAAGTACTGTAACAAACCATTTAGCAATATACAAATTGCCTTTTACTTTTTTTATGAAGTCATGTTATCCTTTTTAGCTTTAATATATATGCAGGTTCCGTAAGCCTAAACTAGTGTGTATGAAATAACTCTGGAATCTTTATATAGGATAGGCTGAAAAGAAATAGTATAAGATTTCAGTTTCAAACTTTTGTAACAGCTGTAACATATAGGCATGAGATAAATTATAACTGTAATCAAAGTTTCTCCCATTGTCTTTTTCTTATAATCTACTGTGCTACTTTGAAGTATAATTGTGTAAATCTGCATATTTCTGTTTTGTGCCTTAGGTCCCAAGCCAGGCACTGTAAACTCAGGAAGGAGAACATTATCTCAAAAATCATATCAGATCCCATCAAACAGCAAATCCATTCTATGTCCCATAATGCACTGCAATAAAAAGTTTGACAATGGGCCTTTACTGCTAGGTCATCTTAAAAGGTAATATTTTTTATCATACAAATAACCCTATAACTAGCAGGGATTAATTAACAAGTTTAGCTTCGCTCAGTTCCCCCCCCCCCCACTTTTAAGTTTTATATTTTCCAATTTCTATAATAGCAATGAGAAAAGTTTGCATGAAATTTTTTTATGCTTTCTTGTATATTTCTTCTAGTATAACATTTTGTTCTGGAGAATATTTTTGCCAGCAATTTTCTCTAATAAAATACATTTTAATATTCTAAATGCATCTTTTTGTATCCTTTTCACTGGATTTGGATTTTCATGCATTTTGGAGGGAGGAACTGTACCATAAATTATCTGTCTAACTATCTTCATAGATTTCATATGTTGATTAAAAATTCTGAATTAGATACATGTACTTTAAAAGACAACAGTTCTCTTGCATATTTTTATAATTAGGTTGCCACAACAAACCACTAGGCATAATTTTACAATATTTTTTTCCCAGGTGCAAGTGATCAGAATTAAGCTTCATATAGGTTGATGCCAGGATTTTTTTTACTTTCGCAAGTATAGTCTAAATTAATGTATGTACCTTATTTAACTGGCTAATGTTAAATTAAGCTAGAAGGTCATAATGATTGTTTTTTGTAAAAGAAAAAAGAAAATAAAACATTCTGCCTAATACATTGTATCTAATTATGTCTATTATTTTCTTAGGTTTGATCATTCTCCATGTGATCCCACAATTACTCTACATGGACCTCCAGCTAATATGTTTGCCTGCATAGTCTGTGGCAACAGATTTGCAAGTAATCAGCAATATAATGGACACCTTTTGTCTAAGGCAAGAACTTAAGGATATATTGATAAAAGTAGCAAGTTCTTTTCTCCTTAGACCAGGGGGGTCAAACTCGCAACGTCATGTGATGTATCGCGACTTTTTTCCATTGCCGGCAATGGGGTGGGCGCAGTTTCACTATGATGCATTCAGCCTGCGGGCTGGCAGTTTGACACCCCTGCCTTAGACGAATCAGTTACATAAAGCTATATGTAGTTTCCCTGACCAAAATTTATTTTCATGGAGGGAAATCATGATTGAAATAATTTGTGAACCTGCAAATTCCATTCCTTTGCTAATTTAACTCCACTGTAGCTGGGAGTTAGTTTTCTGTCTTCGTCCAGAAAGCAGATTTCTCCTGTGTTTCAAAGAAGTGCTTTCTGGAAAAAACTGGCATCTAGATTTAGGTATGAAATAAACCTTCCTTGGTTTTTATTCACCATTCTTAACTATTCTTTCAATTAGAGTTTGTTCTGAATATTATAAATGAAGGGATTCACTAATTTGGGAGTTCCACTGTTAATTCCCTCTGCCTGTTAGCTTTCAGCAGAAAAAAGACCAAGAAAGCTAATTAAAAGTTTTATTCTGCAGAGAGAGGGGGGAATGGGGGCACTTGGTCTCCACCAATAATTGGCCTCTTTGCTTTCCTGAAAAGGGATGTCATGAAAATGAAGAGCAAAAGATGGAGATGGAGAAAAGTTGAAGTCTTACATTAATGGGGCCTGTCCCAAGCTCTCTTCCCAGCATTCTTTAGATTCTTCCTAGTAGATCTGAATGAAACAAGACTTTTTTTATGTGTCCCTTAAGGTTGGCAACCCTTAAAGGAGAATCTTTGATAAAAAATAAATGAAGTATTTTTGACTTGTAAGGCTCAGTTTCAGACTTATCGCAACAGACTTTTTAAATTTGAAGTGTTAAGTGGAAACAACACAAACATCAAATTAAATTATGGTGATCTTTTTAACATAAACCTTGGGCTAGTCAATTTCTCTCAGCCCAACTCAGCTCACAGGACTGTCGTGAGGAAAATAGGTGCAGGAAGGTGCATTGGATATGTTTGCCGCCTTGAGTTATTTGTAAAAATAATAAAGGTGGCATACAAATAAATCGGTTTTACTGAAAAACAGCTCTCTCTGAAATCTGTTTTTCTTTTTCTTCAAAACTTTGTCCTGCTTGTGTTCTTCCCTCCATTCAGGCTGGTGAAAATGATGGCCATGAGAGAAATTACCCTCCTCAGCTTATTCAGTGCTTTGCGTGTCCTTGCTGTTTCCTCTTCTTTAATATAAGAGATGAATGTCTGCAGCATATGTCTGGAAAAAATCATTTTTCTCACGCCTTTAAATTGAGTGGTATGTTTAATAGATACATATTTTTCTCTCTGGTGTGTGTGGGTAATGCATAGATTGTTGGGTTATATTTTAATCTATGGTTACAACGCTGCAGTACGTTCAAACATGATTTTCTGTGTGTCTTAAGAAAATGCTCCACTCTGGAAATGTAAATGAAATGAACTCTTTTGTCTGTAATGTTCCTTTTTTTGTTCAAAATGGGCTGAAATTACTAATTAAAATGCTCCCTGAAAAGAAGGTATTAAGGTTTTAGCTAAAGGTGTGAAATAAATAAAATAAAATAAGATAGGATATTTTTTTCCTGAAGCAGACAGGTATTTGAGGCTTGGACTATAGCTTCTTTCAGGAAAAAAGACTTTCATTGTCATAGGACTGCAGTGCCTCGCAAGTAAGGAAGTTTGCATTCTGTAGATACCTTTCAGCAATGAGCAACATCTGGTGATTGGTAGAGAATTCTTTTTGTAATGTGAACCTGTGCATATGGTACAATATTAAGTAGATGTTATTTGGTTATAAAATCTTATCTACACGTTGTGCATCAGACTGCTGATGATTTAGTGGATTTCAAAGGAAAACGGTGGTAAGGAAAGGTGGATAAATTCTGTTTTGGGGCAGGAGGGATTGGATTCCTCCTAAGTAACCCTGCCTTGTTGATTCATTGCAGATAAATCAGGGAGCCCACTTCCATTGCCTTTGCCAGCCTACGCAAAGAATCTCCTAATCTCCTTATGCAAAGAAGTTCCCTTCCAAGTGCAATGCATATCCTGTCATCAGGTTTTGCAATCCCACATAGAGCTCACAGCACACTTCAGGTTTGTGAAAAACTTCCCATTTGTAAAATGCAAAATCACAGGCCAATTTTTCTCCCTTCAAATACCTGTTGGATGTCACTTAATTATGTTCTGCTGTTGTAATTGGCTTACTCCTTGTATTTTAAAAGTGGAGATGGTGTTTATTAAATGCTGAAAAGTAGAAAATTCTATGCATGTAATAAAAGTGCTGAATTCTGTCTTCACTGCCTTTCCCAAATGTTCTTCCCTTTGGTGAAGACAGAATTCAGTGCTGTTTATTTCATGCATGGATTTCCACCATAGTTCTTTTATGTATTCATGGCTTCCTATATTTAAAAGTTTTTTTTAAAAATACAATGATGTTATAGGGGCAATGTTTGTTAGTGCTTGTGACAACACTTCTAGTGATTTATTTGCTAAGCTGGCCTTTGCTCAACAAATGGCATGTATTTGAATATTTTGAAATGTTGACAATATGGGATTTTTTTAGATGATCTTGAACAAATTTTAGATAGATGGCTACAAATATGTTTGTCTCTTTCCGTTTTAGAATCCAATGTCGTAATGCTGGTCCTGTAGCTGTATCGACGAAGTGCATCTCCGAAATTGCAGAAATACTGAAAGCCAAAAGTTTCTGTCAAGGTTGTGACACGTTGTTTGTCAATGATGACCAAATTACTCACCATAGTTGCAGAAATGTTGCTAAGATTAAACTTATCGCCACAATGGAAGAATCCATATTATTAATCTGTCACATCAATGAACGGAATAAAAGTGTCCCTCACCTGCAAAATAATTCAATCCTTTTGAAATCTCTGAAGAGACATTTGGAATTGAATGGCGATAAGAATGAAACTGTTTCAAAATGGAAAAAGGATTTGCGAGACAATAGTGAAGCAGTTCACACAGCTTCTACTGTCAAAACCTGGGTATGCCAGTGTGATCTGGCATTTGTTTCTGAAGAGTTGGCAGAAAAACACATTTTTGCTGAAAACAGAATCTGCTACAAGTGCGGCGTATGTGGGAAACTTGCAGAAAATGCGAGCATTATCCGCTTGCACATGAGCCGTTTCCACGGAGGAGCACATTTGACTAACTTCATCTTCTCATGCCAAATTTGCAAAATAGCCCTTCAGAAAGAAGAAGATGTCCTTATCCATGTAACAGGACTTCATGATGGACATAATTTCTATTTCGAGAAGGACATTGCTGTAGATGAACTAACAATACCTTCTGATTCACAGTATGACCCTTCGATTAAACAAGAAGGCCAAACTTCAAGCCTTATTGAACTTTCTCCAGAGCAGACTCAGATGGAGGTGGATGAGAGCCCTTCCCAATGGCAATGTAAGATATGTGAGGAAATATTTAACTCAGAGGACAGTGCGAAACAACATTGCAAATCACTAGAGAGTCATCATTTTCACAGGTACAGCTGTGGCTTGTGCAAAATGACTTTTCGGAAAATGGAAACACTGCAGCGACACTGCCAGGGTAGACATAACAATGTTGTACAGGTTAAATATTTCTGTGGATTTTGTGGTGACCTCTTCTTTGATGTTGAGGAGGAATTTTTACTTCACTTCAGGGGCGTACATAGCATGGATTACGTGTGTGTGTCCGAGACAGCAGAAACCTCAATCAAAAATGATGAAATAGCAGAAGAAGGTACCCTTCTAAACTGTGGTTGTCGTGAGAAATATGTTTGCAAAAAAAACAGGAAGGTCGACCACAAGAAATGTCAAGAAGCCATGTTGGAAAAAGGCAACATTTGGTTTCGTTGCACTTCATGCTCTTCTACAGCACAAACCTATTCTGACATGATGGTTCATATCACAAGCCACCCAAGCAAAGAAAGTACTCAAGATTTCTACATAGTCAGGTGTGGTTCATGTAACAAACATTTTAGTAATCTTACTATTGCTCATCAGCACTTCCATGATAAGCACTGCTTTTTACAAAAGCCTCAACTATCTTTTGGGTCACAAGCAGAAAATAATGTCTTCCATTTCTCTGCTGTGAGGTCCTGTTCAGAGAAGGATGTAGCTCCAACACATTCTTCAGATGTAAAAAGGCTGAAACTGGAAGATGCAAAGAAAGCTAGGAAGTTTTCTGAAATGATTGAACAAGGTAGGTGGAATTCAAATTTTACACAGTTAATGAGGCTGATGAAGGGCCAGTGCAAAGCATTTGATAAAACTAATAAGCCACATTATTAAATAATGCAAACTTTGTTTATGTAGTAATCAATAGACAGAAACTTTATTTCGGTTATTGACTCAATAATAGAGATGTAATCTTTGGCAAGTACCAGTAATAACATATTTAAAATTTTTGCCTTTACTAAAAAAATAGAAATTAAAAGATGGAAATGTGGATTATTTTGAGGAAGGAAATAAACAGCAATAAGACATGAGCAGATTCTGTGTCTGAGAATTGGCAGTCACATCAGCTGTAGAACCTCTTTTGGATCTCTTGTAAACTATGTTCGCCTTGTTTCAGGGTATTGTGGAGCCTCATGGTGAAGATAGTTTTGTGCTTACCGTGTTTCCCCCAAAATAAGACCCGGTCTTATGGGGTTTTTTGCCTCCAAAAGAGGCATTAGGTCTTATTTTGGGGGGATGTCTTATTTTTTTCCTGACACCTGCCTCGCCTTAAGGCAACAGCACCAAAAGCCCCATTCAGCAGGAGCCTACATGGCCCCTGGCACACTTCTGTGGCTGCTCGCAGCAGGCGGCTATGTGGCGCATTATGCTGGTGCCACCGTCACGAGGCAGGGGGAGGGGGAAGGTGCCCCACATGTCCCGTACCCGCTTACCTCAGGGCTCCTGCAGCCAGGCCTCCCATGCCCCGACACCCACCTCGCCTCTTAGAAATCCAGGGCTAAACAGTACAGAGGCACGGGCAGATGGGGCAAAGCTGGTTCAACAGAATTTTAAGGGGGAAAAAAGGCGGGCAGTGATTCCTTTCCGTGCAGGAACTCACAAAGCCTCAGCCTGGGTTTCATCAGCGGGCTGAGCGTGGCTCTCCAGTTCTTTGTATACAAACCATACCCACAGGCAGCCTCCTGAAGCGGCCCCTGCTTCTTCCCATTTACAGCCAGCGGCCGGCTAGGTTTTCTTCCGTCCTTCCTTCACCCGGGCCAGCAAGAGCTAGAGAGAGCAGCATTTTGGGCCGCGGCCATTCCGTGGCAGCTGAGCCCGTTCGCCATTCGTCCTACCTGCTTGTCGCCAGTTATGTTCAACTATGATGAGGCCATTGCCTTCCTGGGCGAGTGGGGCCTCTTCCAGTGGCTCATCTTCTTTCTGCTCAGCGCCAGCATCATCCCCAACGGCTCCACAGGGCTATCCACTGTCTTCTTGGCCGCCACTCCTGAGCACTGGCGACGGGTGCCTTCTAACGCCAACCTGAGTGCTGCATGGCTCAACGCTAGCATCCCCCTGGAGAAGCGCGGCAGGTGGCAGGTGCGGAGCCAGTGCAACCGCTACCGCCTCAAGGCCCTGTCCGCCGGGAACATGGAGCCCGGCCGCGATGTCAGTCTCAGCCATTGTCACCGAGGTAGGCAGGTGTATGCTAACTTGTGGGGTGGGGGAGGGGGAGAAGAAGTGGGCTGGCAGTGTGATGGCTTCCCAAGAGATCAAGATCAACCGGGCATGGGAGATGTTCGCTTAGGAGCTAACATAGACGCCCAAACACTTTTCGTCCAGATGGAGAAATGACGGAGACTGGAAGCTTAAATGGAGCGCTTTGAAACGGAGTGATTCGCTTCATTTGCAAGTCGACGAAGCTTCCAGTCTCCCTCTGAACGAAAAGTATGCGGCATAGCCAGGCATATCTACTGGGGGGGGAGCAGGCGCAGCCCTGGCTCACAGGAGGCTTGTGCGGCAGCACTGGCAGCAAGTGGAGGCACGGGGAGGCAGGCGATCCTGATGCGCTGCCCACTCTGTCCCATCATCTCTCAGCTTGCACCGGGGCAGGTGGCCGTGTGGTGCATCGGTATCACCTGCCTCCCCGTGCCTCTGCTTGCGCCTGCTGCCAGTGCTGCTGTGTGAGCCTCCCGTGAGCCAGGCGGCCACGCAGCACTGCTGGATCGCTTGCTTCTGCCTCCGCGCTCGGACTTATCTGCACTGCGCCAAGGGGCTGGCTGGCTGAGGCTACTGACGGACACCATTGGCCCTGCGCACTCACTGCCTCTTGTGCTGGCCATGCCTACCTCCCCAGGCTTATTTTTGGGGTAGGGCTTATATTAGGCCCACCCCAAAAAAATCAGGCTAGGGCTTATTTTTTGGGTGGGTCTTATTTTTGGGAAAACACGGTAGGGGAAAACTTTTTTTGTTTTTCCTTATGCCCATCTTGTCTATCCATAGGCAACATTACTTTCTTAGCAGAAATTAACCTTTTAAATGCTGATAAGTGTCCTTGCAAATCCTTCTGGTGCTACTCCCAGTTGGGCATGATTGTGTAAATCAGAACCATTTTCAGTACCTGTTAAAGATTTGGCTCTTCTATGTTTTCTGATTTTGAAAGTAATCATTTGAAGCCAAAAAGGCATCATTTGATAATGTGGGATGTACTGTATATTAAAGGAGGAACTTTCCTACGTGAATATTCTGTATTTTTATGGCTTAAATTTATATTGACAATTAAATTTTAAAAGCCGTATGAAACATATATTTCTATAATTGAAAAAATGCATAAACATTTTGGCTATGCTTTTCTCCCTCTTTCTTACATATAGATGAAGGCAATCTTCCTGACCTTGATTACTTATGTACCATGTCTCACATTGTAATGATGGATTTAGATAATTGGGGAAGTCTTTTTGATCAACTGCCTGCAACCCTCAACCAAGGAACTTTTATTTGGGGCTTTCAGGGTAAGGAAAGAAGTTAACAGTTCAAACACAACAGTAGAAGTCTCACAATATAAACAGGCAGCTTGGTAAGAATCGTCTACCAGGTGGGCAGTTGGGAAGTCGCTGCAGTTTTCTTGGCAAGATTTTGAAAGTGTTGGTTGCATTGGCCTCCTTCACCGGGCTGAGAGTTAGTGACTGGCTGAAGGCCACCCAGCTGGTTTTGTGCCAAAGATCTCACTGTCATCCAATTTCTAGTCTCAATAAAGGAGAATATTTGTAGCTCAGGGTTGAAATGAGGGGTCTTTTGTGCTCTCTGAGCTTGGTTGTTTTCTTGCAGGTGTTTTGTTATCCAGACTAGGTAACATCATCAGTGTTAGTCTAGCTCTGATGTTAACTAGTTTGGGCAATGAAATGTCTGCAAAAACAAGCAAACTCAGAAAGCACCAAGGACCACTCATTTCTAGTCTGGAGCCTTAACACTAGGCCAAACTGTCTCTCTTTATCAATCTGGTTTCATTACAAAATTTGTTTCTCCATTAATGCCACTAGCTGATTGTGGTCAAGAATTATACAATCTGTATATAATCCTTCAGTAAGACTGTTAGAATTGGAAATATATAATCCAGTGTATATCAAATGTATACAGCATAGATTAACAGTTTGAAAAATATAGGTTACAGTTTTTTAGTGTTGTCACCTCTAAAACGTTTTGTAAAACTTTTTCATGGCAGTCTAGATAGTTTTAATGATTACGCCATTCCTCTTTCATTGCTTAGGTGGATGTGGCCATTGGAAACCCCCTGTGAATTGCAAGACCTTTAATTATCTTAACAAGATTGGGTGTTTCTTTCTTCATCCACGCTGTGGTAAAAGGAGAGAGGCTGCTGATTTTGCAATCTGTGTACATGTACGTTTTCAGGTTTTGTACTGATCAAATAACTAAGGCTCCATAATGAGGCTGTAGAACTACAAATGACCATAAGGAGGAGAGTTAGAATTTTTGGTATCTCTTATTTTCCCCCTATCTATCTATGTAGTCGCTAAGAGTCGAAAACAATTTGATGGCACATAATCCATCAAAAATATTTTTCCCTCTAGTGGTCACTGACATTCTTGCAAGGTAGTTAAAGAAACCCTAATTTAGGGCTAGTTAATTTAATTTTAACATATTGTTATGGTAAAAACACTTCATTTTTTCTTACCTGGTATACAGTCAGTGATTGGAGTATAACTTTAGCCAATCATGGCTTAATTTCTGATAATTTCTCTTCAAAGTTATTTTAAATTGGTATATCCAAATAAGAGAAATAAAACGTAAAGATTTTGTGGATGCTGTACTATTAAATTACTAAGAGAAATTAAACTTCTAAAATAGTATTGAGTTTTTCAGACCACTATATGTATAATTGGTATAATCATTCCATCCTTTTAATTCCTTTTTTTACAGTTATGAAAGTGCTTATTATTTCTACTATCCTTTAATATTCATCATTTGTATTAGTATTAATTAGTTCAAATTACTTCCTAACTTTATTTTTATGACATAAAAGTAACTGCTTTTCATGTAGATACTTACACAGATTGCTTTAAAATTATATTGACATATAAGTGTCACTTTAATATTGGGTAACATCAAATAAATAAATACCTTTTAAAAACCTTAAAATTCAGGAATTTATCATACTAGCAATTACATTTCAGAGCATGAATATGTATTTCAAGCTAGTTGATTAACTATATTCTTTTATGTAGTACATAGCGATCCATAACATTATGCATTCGTTTTTGCTTATCCATTATTTTTATTTTCACAAAGGACATGTAGGAAAGTTAGGAAATATTGGTGTGTATTTCCTGAGGCCATAAGAGATTCACCTTAAGATTTCAGTTTTCTTTTTAATTGATTTATTTTTCTCATGAACTGGCTAATACTGTGTAGAGAACCATAATTTAAGGCAAGCGAGAGATTGCAAGGAAAGAATTATAGACGCAACAATTTCTGGGGGAGGAGTTGCCTTTTGGAGATATGTAGGCTGGGATGTGGCTTAATCTATTCCTCTCTGTACATCACCCCTCAGTAATTAAAGATTGAGAATCATTTTGTTATGCTTGGAAGTCACTTCCTAATTACAGTGTACAATATATCTTGCTAAGAGATCTTAAGCTGTGTATGCTTCTAGTTTCAGATAACATTTTTTCACAGGTGGGCCGCCTGGATGAACATCTGCCAAAACATATTCCTTTCACCATTCTTTCTGGAGACAAAAGCTTTCTAGAATTGGAGGATCAACTTAAGATGACTCAGCGGGTAACTCGCATTCTAGATCCTCATAAGATTGATGCTGACATGATGTATTCCTTATTAAACAGCATTTCGGATGCTGTCAAAGGTTTGTTTTCATTCAGTGCGTTGTCTATTAATAGAAACAAATGGAATAAAATAATACTGAGTCATTTTACAGGCATGTTATTGAAGGTAGCATGGTCATTCCTGATACAGTTTCATTAACTTACCGTGCTTCCCTTACTGTGGGTCAAGATTAAAGCATCATTCACCAAGGCAGGAAGAAAGAGGGATTCCTTGAGGCCAGAATGAAATTATTTGCTATCAGTTGTCACTGGGCTAGGTTGGTCTTTCCTTACTAGTATTTTTTTCTTGGGCCTTGGCCAAAGGATGACACTGATTTCTGCTTGCCAGGTCCCAGGCAGTTTGCTTGCTTGCTTGTTTGTTTATTAGATTTTAACCCTCCTTTATTATTTTTATAAATAACTCAAGGCAGTGAATATACCTAATACCTCTTCTCCCCATCTTTTTTCCCATAACAACCCTGTGAAGCCCCAAAGATGCTTTTTCCAAAAGGAACCGGATTTTCTTGTTTTTTTCTTTGAAAATGTTTTACCGAAGTTTCTTCAGTTCTTGGATGAGAAGTGAAACTCCCCCCCCCAAAAAAAAAAAACCCCAACCCAAGGAAGTCCAGTTGCCTTTTGGAAAAAGCAGCTTTGGGACAACTATGACCTGGACGATTGAGAATCTCCATAGACATAAACTCTGTGAAGTGGGTTGGGCTTAGAAAGAGTGACTGTTTGTCAGGAATTTCACGAGAGAAGGGCAGATAACTCCCTATAGCTATTCTTTTTCTGATATTCTCCCTATGCTGTGTCTTGCTGGTGGAAAGCAGAGAGTAGGGTCTTGGAGAGGCTTTTGAACTCTACTCCTTTACATCATTTCATCATTAATAGCATCATCATGCTATTAAATTTATCTCGCACTTTTCACTAGAAAAAATTCTGTTCAGAACAAAATAACTAGAAACGAATAAACTTTTGTAAAATTGAAACAGCAATATAATAAAATCTATTATTGTTTTAAGTATCGGGAAAGGGCTTAACAAATGAGGCTGTGCACAAGGGGGTGTCTTTAGAAAGAGCAAACAGATTGTAACATGTAAGAAGGTTCCTAATAGGATAGGTATCCTCACCTCCACCATTTGTGGCATTCCAAATGCAATATAATCAAGAGATGATTTATTGTTGTCATGCTGGACAGTCTTAAGAAGCACAGATGTTACACTGTATGTATTAGGTAAACTTGCTCCTTTCACTGCCATCACAGGGAAGTTTTAGAATTTAATAATTGCGAACTTGCTCTTTCAGAAAGACCACAGCCTGCCTGTGAAGAGATTGAATTAGTTTCCATGTCTGTTTTTCTATTGCAAAAAAATAAAGCCAGACAATTATTGCCAATCAACAGAAATCTGACAAAGAAAGCCAGTTGTTAGAATTGAAATGTGGCAGGATTAAAATATTTTTGTCTGATTACAGAAAATGAAGAGATTGATATTCAAATGGCAATGGCACAGATTTTGCAAGTAACGAGAGCCCAAAATGGTATGTTTTAATTTCCACAGTACATTAGACAGCATATATATGTAATTAAAAAATAAATACAAAATAAAAATAAATAGTATGTTGAAATATAGGTGTAATGATATTAGATTGGTTTTCTTTTTTATTGAAAGTGCATTTTGGCAAAAAGGAAAAAGTATTATTGACTTCTTGTATTTTTGAGGCCTTGGAGGACTAATTAATAATGCTAGAGATATTTGCATATCAACATGAATTCTTCTGGTGGTAGAATCATAATTTCATGCCAATAATGATCATTATATCTAGTTGTGTGACCTCAGTTTGCTTTGTTGTAGCAGTTCTGTTTTACAGCTGCGGATATCATTAATTGGATATGTGCATTCTACAGGCAGGGTTTATATTTGATATAGCTTTAGAAACTTCAGTAACTAATATAAAAATTATACAGGTAGTCCTCAACTTAACAGTTCATTTAGTGACCGTTCAAAGTTATAATGTCACTGGAAAAAATGACTTATGACCATATTTCACACTTATGACCATTGCGGCATCTTCATGGTTATATGACCAAAATTTGGATGCTTGGCAACTGGTTCATATTTTTGATGGTTGCAGTGTCCCTAGATCACGTGAACATCTTTTGCGACCTTCCGACAAGCAAAGTCAATAGGGAAGCCAGATTCACTTAACCAACTGGGTTATTAACTTAACAATGATTCACTTAAAAACTGTGGTGAGGAAAGTCGTAAAATGGGGCAAAACTCACTTAACAAATGTCTCACTTAGCAACATAAATTTTGGGCTCAAGTATGGTTGTAGAATCGAGGACTACCTCTGTATGTGAACCAGCATGAATATATCTTAGTTCACAGCATGAACTAAAATGTGGCCTGTCCTAAGTTTACTTTAGTTTGTTCCTGAGAAGCTGGCGATATTTTGAGCATCCCAAGACAAAATGCAGGGGGACTTTCGAAGCGAGCAGAGTAAAGCTGGTGCCTTGCCCTTATCTCCAGCTTTTTCTGCTAGATGTTCTCTAACCCAAGAATTTCAGTGGCTCCCTTTCCCAGCCTGTTCTTATGCTGCACTAGACTTCAAGGATATTGATGGGTAACAGAGAAGGAATAATAGAAGTGCCTGGGAAGATTGGGGCCAGGAGTGGTGGTAGGGGATGTCTTGTCCTGGAAGCAAGAACACTAGTGGCAGTAGTAATGGTTATCCAACTAGACTGTTTCTCCTGTTCTGCTGTTTATTTCCCCTTAGATTCACTATCTACTGCAGCTATCCTTTTGCCTACTCCCCACTATATGTCTGTCCAGATCCTGTTTGTTCCAGACCCACATGCATGTATGTTTATCTAGATATGGGCCACAGAAATTACCTGTTTGTGCACAGAAAACCTCGGACATTCTTTGTTTTATGGGGAGGAAAAGAAACACGAAGCCTCCAAAAGGCAAATTGCTTCTGTCTCTATCTTTAGAAAGCTCCAACTCTTTCCTCCTGCAATGAATTGCTGTTTTGGGGACAGATTTTAATCTGTTTTGGAGGGGGGGTGTCGTTTCAGAAGTTCCCACTTCCATTTCCCCTTAAAATCCAGGGGGGGAAAAGGTCAATAAGCAGAATACGCAGGAGTTTGGTGGGGAGCTTGAAGGTGGAAATGGGCAGCTTTTCTACCAAATGCAGCTTTGAGCATATAGGTATGTAGGAAGGAGCCAGTTTAAAGTCTCTGGAAGAAGTGAGGTCCTTATGAGATAATAGGTGCCCTTTCCCTTGAGACATCCTCTGGTTTGGGAGGAGCCATCCTTTTGCTAGTTTCTGTGCCTCGTATTTTATATAGTTAGAAGGTCAAGATCAAGATTATATGAGTTAGAAGATCAAAGGCTATTTAAGCTGAAGACCATTGTTCTAATGATCGGACATTCTGGATTTAGATAATAAGATGATGGCTTGATTAACTCTGCAGACACATACCCTGAAGATGTCTTCCTATTACGGATAGCAAGAGTAATGTTCACTTGGAAATGTATACTTTTTCAATTGAATAAAGCACTAATTAGGGAAACTTTACTGATTCTTCCAAATTACATCCAAATTGTACAATTGTTACTTAGGGACAGGTTGACGTTCTGATATCTTTATGCAGATACAAATGATGCTGATGATGAATTTCAAGAGGCAATTAGGCGAAGTCTTGAGGAAAAGTGAAGATGTCTAAAGATGGGTGTACCAAAACATCTACCTGACTTCAAAGAAATTGAAATTTGTTCACCGTTTTATAAAAATATTAAAAATGTACTGGTTATTATTTCAATGTTTCAATGACATTGTAAAAACTGAACTCTATCATCAAGCACTAGCAGAGTTCAGAACCTGTTGTAAAATTTAACTAATGGGATTTCAGTCATCCTTTCTCATGACTTAAGCAGTAAACAGTTTTAAAATGTGATATGGCCAAGCTTACTTTAAAAATACAAGAACATGGCAAATCTGCTGAGTCATAAGATCTATTAAGTTTATTTTTTTTCTAATGTCTGACCTGAAAACTGAATGTTATGATTTATGCTGCTTTTTTTTCAAACTGTTCTTTTCTGGATTTTAATATTTTACTTCTACTGTTCTGTTGACTTTATTTTGTAGTAGATACAGGTATTAATCCAGAATGTCTAGAGTGCCTTTTCTTGCTTCATCAGTTTCTGAGGTGAAATTTAGACACTATCCTGAAGATTACAGTCTATAGACAAACTTGCAAGAATCTGTTACAATTCTCTTAAACTTGAGGTCCAAGAACTAGTTACTTTCTGTTAGCTGTCTCTTCATTCTGATTTACATGTTTTAATGTAGAGAATGAATACAATGCCAAATAGACTGAGTGTATTTGTATATTTTGCTTCCTGTCATTAATACTATATCAAAGTATTTTCCTGTTTGTTTTTGACAATATTTAAATGTAACTTCAGGAAGCTGAAGTCTTTCTTTGATTTTAACTTATTTGCATTTCTCAGAGCATAATTATATACTTCAGCTTAATTAAAATATCAGCTATTGTTGTGTTGCTTCTCATATCAGTCAAGCGCTATTTGAAAGTTTTCATTTTCATTTTTTCTAGGTCCATAAATTCCATTTGACTTAGTTTGTCTAAATAAAAATGTTTACAGAGAAGTAGAATGCAGAAGATGATGCTAATTTTATACTTATGTTTGTACTGCAGGCTTACTGAAAAATTGGTTTGGAATGAAAACTGTGTGACAGCAAAATAGCCTTTCTATAATGGACATAACACTGCAAGTATATTAACTAGATTAATATATTAAGACTTAGTGGCTTGGAGGACAGATTGTAATGGTTTGCTCTAATAAAACATTCTATACAAATATACGTGCTGTTCTCCTAAGCCTTTTATGTCCTTGTTGAAACCCTCTGCCTCTACTAAAATAAGATTCTAGTCAGAAACCATTTAATATTTTAGCAGGAGCCTAAGAACTTTTTGTGATACCTGCCTTGCTCCATTCTCCCTAATATTAAGAGAAGAAAGGGGAAGCCTTTGCTGCAGATATCTGGCCAGTGGCATAAACTCAATAATAGTAATGCATGGTTACCATACAATGGTTAGTTCAGGAAATAATGCAAGAAAATTCATACTAACTCTTATAAAAACAACCTAATCTATGCCTGTCATTTAGGAATGGTCTCAAACACTCAAATGAGTGTTTTCTAGACTGTATAAATACTACATTTCATTGGGATCAAGTATTTCAGCTACAGAATTGCTGCCTGCTTGTATATTAAGTTCTCTGACTCAGTGTTACAAGAAATATGTGTTTTCTTTCTCATATGCAAATGCACAGATAGGTTTATGGACAAAGCCATGTTTAAATAGAAGATTCCAAACTCCTGTTTGCTATAATCATTTCTTCATGTAATCTAGCACTTTCTGTAAATAGAGTATATCCCTTTTTCTTTCTCATGTTATATATTTTTCAAATAATTTTCTTTCAAGTCATTCTTTCTAAATTTTTTCTTCAGCTTGCTAGGTTTGTGTCAGCAACTATATACATACTACATACTCTCTTGATCTATTAATCTTTTTGCTGTAAATATAGTTGGTTTTGTTTTTAGCCGCAAGAATATCATTGAAAAGAATATCTTAGAAATCTTGTTAAAACTGTCCCAGGAATAAATCCTGTAAGATGACTTTGTCCCAAGTATATTTTATTAACCTCTGAATATAAAACCACATTTACAACATTGCAGATGTGATTAACACAAATGCTACATTTAAAAAAATTATCTCAATATGCTACTTTTCTGCCTCTGAAACACATGATTCTTGGGAAGAACTGAAGATGTGCAAATTATTTCATGAAATCCTAAATATCACTCAGGAAAACCTCTGTATTTGTATATTATTTTAAGCAAACATTGATTGGGTATCTGGCCTCATGCTAGGATGAAGTGAATATTACAATGGAACTATATAAATGGGTGGATTTCAATCAGAAAGGGATGCTGCTACTGTCCAACAAAGATGGTCCAGGAAAAGGAAGACCTTTAAGTCCCCAAAAGTACAGGAACTGCTCTTTTTCTGTGGATATTATCTCAAGATGTTATAAATGCTGTAAAATAAAAAGTGGAATAAAAAAGTACTTGGTCCGACACTGCATTGGTATTCTAAAGTTTGTTACTACTATCAAAGAACTGGACTCTTCATCTCAAATATTTCTGGGCTGTTGGATTCTAGATCCATTATTCCCAGTCAGGAATTCTGGAATTTGTAAGTACCAACATTTTGAACTTCATAGTGTCCTCATTCCTGATATGTTACATATGACCTTTAGGTATTTTTTGAAACTGATATATATCTCCCTCCTATAAATGTTTAATCAGAAATAAATCACTGAGTTCAAAGGATTATACCCTCAGAAAATGCAAATTTTAGAAAAATGTTGGATAAAAAAATATTGCTTTTAAATAAGGAAAAAAAGAACAAAACAATACTGAGATATGTAAAAAAAGAAAAAAACCAGAGTAATTTAACAAAAAAGTGAAAAATATATGACAAAAAGTCAGCATGTTATAACAAAACAATTACAATTCTATATATACTTTTTATTGCTTTTAAAATAAAGGAAAAAAGTACAAAACAAAAAATGCATTAAAAATACCTAAGTGTTTAAAAATAGGTTTAAAAATGCAAAGTATAATATGTCACTACAGTAAACAGTTACAATTCTATATAGTCATAAATTACAATTCTATAGGTCTACAAATTATAATTCTATATATAGCTTTATAGTTACAATTTATCTCAATTTTGAAAGTAAAAACGCATGATTTTTATATATAGCTGGCAAGGTGGTTGTTAAGTGGCAAGTGCAATTAGGTTTTCAATCCATTGAGTTAAAGGGCCATTGTTTCCCATGCTGCTGGATCACTCTTGGCATGGTGGATCTATATACAGGAGGTTTATAAGAGCAGATTGGACAACCATTTGTCTGAAATGATATAGTCTCCTGCTTGAGCAGGGGATTGGATTGGATTAGAATACTTCTTAAGTCATTTCCAACTCTATTATTCTGTTAAATTTATTCCATTCATTTTTTAATATTTGCATATCAAATTGATTTATGATAACCAGTATTTATAAAAACGAATAGTTTTTTTAGTTTTAAAGGATTTAGCAAGTTCTAGTATTGCAAGTCTCTCAAGCTGAAAATATGCTAGTGCAAGAAAAAAAAAGATTTCAATACATTTGAAAGGTTCATAATAGATAATGGCACACATGAATAGTATTAATCATTGGAAGGAAAAGGAGGGATGAATAAGAATCAATCTTTAAGAGATTATAATAAAATACTGTCCTAACATGCACATAGTTCTGCTTTTTGCAATTAAGGTTTCTTTTTAAAACCATGAATTTGTGATACATTTTCTTTAAAACTAAGGCATCCAGCAACTGCTATAATATTTTCAGAAGAGTTTCCTATGTATAATTTTTCATTTCTCAATTTTTAAAAGAAGCCTGAAAAATATGTGATTAGCTATGCTGTTCTGTAATTCTGGTGCTAAATTGTATACATTCTCAAAAGTTTGTAGAAATACATTAATTTTCTGAGGAATTACTAATTAAAAATTAGTGTTAACTACATTTATGAACATAGCACATATTTATATCAACATGGCATTTCAGTGTGATGGACTTTGTTCCAAAATGGAATTAAGAAAATTCAGTTGAGTTAAATTGAGACAGTATGATTAAAAATCACATTTAAACGTTTTTACCTGTTATACTAAAAATTGCTATTCAAATTATATACTCCTAGATTAAAAGATAAAACATGTCTTTTTAATAAAAGAGCCAGTTTAGTCTAGTGGTTAAGGCATCAGGCTAGAAAGTGGGAGACTGAGTTCTACTCCCACCTTAGGCAGAAAATCAACTGGGTTGACCTCGGGCAATCACTCACTCTCAGCCCAACTCACCTCACAGGGCTGTTGTGTGGAAAACAGGAGGAAGGTGTATTGGATGTGCTTGCCGCCTTGAGTTATTTGTAAAAATAACTATGAAAGAGGGATACAAATTAAATAAAAGGCCAATTCCAGCCATAATTATAGAAATGCAGATCATTTCACTCCATAACACAAAAACAGGGAATGTAATCAGGGCCAAAGACCAATTTGCAAGCTCAGAAATCTCTTGACGTTCCGTACTTCCTTCTACATGAATAAAAACAACTATACAGGGGAGGGGGGAACGTAATTGCTCCCTTCCTTTGCTGCTGACCTAGAAAAAATATTTTTTTTTCCTGTGTAAGGTGATATAGAGCAAAGAGTTGAACTCATGGTGGAGTTCAAGTGATTTCCATGCATTGCATGGACCAAATGTCTCCTCAAGCAGGTTTCCCACCTATGTCGTAACAGAATGCTAACTTGTAGCAAAACTTGGGAATTCCAGGTTTGGCATGGAGCTGATAAGAACTTGATCCCTGAATCTGAGACATTTTTAGTTTTCCAAAGGATTTTTTTTTTTGCCTACCAAAATGCAAATTCCCAAATAATTCAACCAGCCCAAATGAAAGGCTAGAACTCTGTCAGTTTCTAATTCAGCACCTTAAATCGTTATCCTAACAACCCCAACATTTCCCTTGGCCACACAAAACTATTAACTTTTCCCACAACTAAAACTGCCTAAAGCACTGTTGTCAAACTCACCATGTCACGTGATGTGTCACAACGTATAGCGACTTTTTGCATTGCTGGAGCTGGGTGAACGCAGCCTCCGTATGATGCAAGCAGCCCACTGGTCAGCAGTTTGATCCCCTGGTCTAAAGTAATCAACTGTAATCATTTTCCAGAAGTGCTTCAAATTACTCATCCTGAAGACAAGGTCAACTGTCTTGCTTTTTATGTGATTGGAGATTCTCAATTGTTGGGAGGTGGGATCATGTTGCCTCCCTTCTGATCAGTTGCCAAGCTTTAGTTCAGACAATTCTGTCAATTATTGTACCCACTACCTCCCTTTGTACTATAACCATAATAGGAAAAACTGGGATGGTGGTTGCTCAGCAAGGCATCCACGTGGGTGTCTCACTTAATAAACTAAAACAAAGTATGACCAAAATTCCAGGCTCAATTTTGGTTTTAAGTCAAAAGATTAACTGTAGTTTTCTGTCTTTATTTCTTCTGGTTTTTTTACTTTCTATTTTCTTTTAATTTGTATTAGATTTTACTACTATAAATTCTTAATAAAATTATACATATTTTAAATATTAAATTTATTCTCGCCCCTGCAAATCCCTTTTGTCTTATGGCATCTGCAATAATGTGAATCTGTCTGCATTTAGGAGTTCTGTAGACCTTTTTTTAAAAAAAAAAAATCAGTTATGACAAGTCTAGTGAAGTGCCTTGAGTTCCTGCCAATATTAACTCACAAAGACTTTCTTCCTGTTACTTATCTGCACTGCAGTAGTTTCTCAGTTTTTTCTAACTATCAGCATGCTAGTGTTACCTGGGGACAGAGGGAGGACAATACCTTGAAATGGTCTTATTCAAAAAGAGCTCACATATTACACCCAGAATGCATGTAAAACGATTTTACTCAGAACAAACATTCTACACCAAGAAGGCATAAAAGAGCATGTGTGCCTTAAGAGAAGAAAAAAGCACAAAAAAAAAAACTATTTTGAAGCCACAATGGATATTGTTTGATCAAGAGACCAAACTGTAAGTGGACTGAATTTAAACTCGGCAGCAAACTTCCCCTAAGTGTCTTTAATTCATCCAGGATTTAATCCCATTTTTCTCTATGTGATTAATTGAACCACATATTAACCACACATGAGGTTACAAAACACTATTTAGATTTAAATACCTAAATTAATTGTGTCATAAGGCAGCCAACGTCCCACTTTTTCAAGGAGCCTAGAAGATTAAACTAAAAAATGCACAGAATCGGAGCAGGAGCAGCAGACACCTTCACCTTAAGTTTGTGCTGGTAAGCGGGGAGGACTTCGGAGGATCCCCCTTTCCATTCGGCTCTCCCCAGAGAAATGCAGAGGTAACCCCCTCAGGGAGTAACCCACAGCTTTTCCCCATTCTGAGGTGAAAAGCCAGAGATGCTGTCGAAAGATTAATTCGGGGTTCCAACTGGAGCCGGGGCTGTGCAAGAATAAATAAAAATGAGATCCAGACAGCTGTGAGGAAAGAATTATTATTTATTCCCAAAAGCAAAAGAGTTTGCCTTCAGGGGCAGGCTGCAGAGAAATGGAGTACAGCAGCAGATTTTTATAGGGGGAGCTTGTCCGGGGTGAAGCATCTACATCAGGGGTAGTCAACCTTGGCTCTTTTATGACTCGTGGACTTCAACTCCCAGAATTCCTGAGCCAGCTAAGCTGGCTCAGGAATTCTGGGAATTGAAGTCCACGAGTCATAAAAGAGCCAAGGTTGACTACCCCTGATCTACATGCTGATTCTAGACCTAGGGGGTAACTTATTTGGGGGTTTGAGGAAGGTTGTTAACTTTAGTTGATTAACTTAGTTTCAGCTTGACTTAATTATCTAGCGGGGATAATTGTGGATTCTGTTAATATTTTAAAGGAAAGATGGAAACAGCATAAAGAACAAAATATACAGTATTTGGATATAAAACCTCTCACAATGCCTCCAGGCAAAAAAATGCCCCTTTCCTAATTGTACCTTCTGGCTAACTCTCCCAAGCCTAAACCTTTTTTCCTGCTCTATGAGGGGGAAGGAGGGAGCCACCGCCATGCCCCTGCCTGTCCTGGGGAGGAAAAATGGTGGGCGGGTGGGCAGAAGAGCACCCGCAAGAATCCAACGCGGCGCCTGCTCCCAGCTGGCTGGACACACCACAATGGCAAGGCGATTACGACTTTGGCGAAAGCCCCAGTTTAAGCTCTCCGCTCCGGGCCAGCCGGGGTCGCGCTGATTAGACTGGGGAGTTGGTGCTTTGGCGGGAACGAAGAGCCCAGGGACATCAGAAGCCCAGCCCTCGCCGTTTCATACAAGCCGGAGGACGAGATGGGCGCCCAGCCATTTGCGCTCCGGAGCCTCTTTGACCGCCACCTAGTCTTGCAAGTGCGCCAGGGGAGGGGCGACTCCGGGGCGGGAGCGGCTCTTCGGCGTCCAGGCTGAGGCGCCCGCTCCCGTCACTGCAGCTGCTGACCGGGCAAGCGCCGTGCGGCGGGCAGAGGCGCCAGGCGGCGGCGGCGGCGGCGGCGGCCACGGCTCCTCGCCTTGCCATGGCCCAGGCCAAGGTCGGCAGCGCCAAGAACAGCGGCGGCGAGGCAGCCCAGCAAGCGGGCACGGGTCAGCAGCCCCGAGGGCGCTTCTTCCGCTCCACCTCCATGGCGGACCGTTCCAGCCGCCTGCTTGATTGCCTGGACCAGCTGGAGCGGAGGTAAGGCTGGGAAGGGCGGGCGTGCCAGCCGAGGGGCAGCGCCCTTGGCTCTTCGGAGGAGCGTGTGAGAAAAGCGCAGCGTTTGTCTCCCACCGTCTTCCTCGCCTCCCTCTTCTGGGCAATTTGCGGTGGGGATTTTGTCAACTGCTTCCTCGCGAGAAAAAGGAACCGTCTCGGCCGCGTCTTTAAAAGTGCTCCTCTATTATTATTATTATTATTATTATTATTATTATTATTATTATTATTATTATTATTATTATTATTATTATTATTATTATTATTATTATTATAATATTATTATTATTATTATTATTATTATTATTATTTATTATTATTATTATTATTATTATTAATTATTATTATTAATTGTTGTTATTATTATTATTATTATTATTATTATTATTATTATTATTATTATTATTATTATTATTATTATTATTATTATTTGGATTGCTTCGATGCTCCGCATCTCCGTTTGGGCTCTGGAATATTTTGCAGAACGTTTTTTCCCCCGTTTGATAAATGGAAGAGGAGGAGAATCCCCGACGTGCCTTCTCTTGCTTTTAGTGGTCAGGCCTCGGTTCAGCATGACGCGAAGTTTGGGGGGCTCTGGGAAAAAATGTTAATGGTCCCAAGTATAATCTCCGGGTGCTTTTGAAATGGGACGGGGTTTTTCTCAGCCTCTCTGGACGTCAGCCGTGTAAAATCCTTCCTCGTTTGGAAAGCTGTAGCTTTTCCAAGTGAGGAGGTGGGATGAATTGCGTGGGAGAATGGATTTTCTATACACGATTCTGAATGATTCTGAATGGATGAGGAGAGTTTTGGATCTGCTCGGTTGGGAAAAAAAAAAAAAAAAAGCAAAATTCCCCCGTTTAAGGGCTGGTGGAATATATGGGAGTTGAGATTAGAGATGGCAGGTTTAATCGTACACCGAGTAACATTAGATAAGAATGTCTATTACTACTTCCAAATGTTTCTGTGTGTTCTTATGATTTTGTGCACCTTCATGTCTCTGAATTAGATCAGAACATGAACATTTCATGCACTGGCTTCCCAGTGTAGCTTCAGGGATCTGTAGTCAGTGACACTCATTCTGGTGCATTCCACTTGAGGTAGATGGATTAGCAAACCAACATGCCAGTTTCCTGAAATGGTGGGAGGCAAGGCTGGGGCACAGTACTTTCTACTGTAAACTAGTCTCAGGTAGAGAAGATCCAGATCCCATCAAAAATGAAGCCAATCCTGGCTGAACACCAACAGTGATTGGCTGAGTTTGCATATTTATAACATTGGGCTATAAACCATGGTTTACTCATCAGTAAGACTAGGTCAGGGGTAGGCAACCTTGGCTCTTTTATGACTCGTGGACTTCAACTCCCAGAATTCCTGAGCCAGCATGGCTGGCTCAGCATGGCTGGCTCAGGAATTCTGGGAGTTGAAGTCTACGAGTCATAAAAGAGCCAAGGTTGCCTACGCTGGGACTAGGTGTACACAACATCTAAAGCCAAACCACATTACATAATGACTTAGCATGATATTGCCTCAAATTTTTAATTTCAGGGCTCTTTTTCATAATTGCAACAGACTCGTTACTGGTACTTAAATGACTATTTCCATTGTTTAGCATTTCTTTACTTCTTTACACTTGCCATGGACATTTACATAGTCTTAAAACAGGATAGATAGCCTGAAAAATTCACCCTTTACCAAAAGACATAAGTAAAGAAATCAAATAACTATAACTTAGAGCATTATCCTTCCTGAATATGATAGTTGAGACAGAGATAAGATTATTAGGTTAGACATATTTCTTTATCTAACAAAAGCATAACAGGTTTTTTAATGAACACTATAAAGTTCATAATTTTCACTAGGAAATTTATTACTGCAATTCAGGCACTTTTCATGGGGGAAAAATGAATAAAAATTGCTGAAATAATTTCATCAAAAGCTTCATATGAATTTTTAACTGAACTGAAATTTGAATATAAGGTGCTCATTTAGTGTTGAATGTTCTATATTTTACATTTTTTTCTATATTTTCTGTATTATGTAGTAAATCATGTACTTCGTGGTTTAATTAAATTACATTTAAAGAAGTTATTGATTCATTTTTTTATTTTAGTTGAGCAGTACATGACTACTAAGAAGTGACAGCCACTGACTACATAGTTGGATTCACAATTATGGTCTGATTTATATATCATGTTAAGCCGCCCCACCCCAAAATATGCAAACCAGAACTATAGGGGTTACTCTTAGACTACAATGCTATACATACATAGCTAAGATTATCCAGAAGGCTGTTATTTGCAGAATTATATAATACATTTTCTAAATGACTTCATCACATTTTTTATGGTTAGGATCTCAAATTCTAAAAAACAAATAGTATTGCTGTGTTACAAATTATATATATGCATCACTCTATAATTTCTGACTATATAGGTAATCTGCCTTTCTCGTAAAACATATTTTAAACAATGTCAAATGAATTGCAAATCTTCTGTCATGTTTATTTTGGAATGGCAATTTCACACAAGTAAATTATTTCCTACTGAATGAGTGTTTATGGGTGCTACCATAGCTACAATGATAAATTTTTTGCAACCTTAATTTTTCTGCATGTGTTTAAGAATGAGGAAGAAATTTTGTTCTGGAAAGTGGTCCAGCTTTGTGAGTGAAGTATAACAGGTGCTATGATAGAAGAGACCTATATATAGTTACAAATGAGGAAGGACTCAGAAGGTCCAGCTGTCATTCCAGAAAGCATATGAGATTTGGCCTCTTTTTGTGTGGACAAGATTGTCTTTACTTTTTAGGTTTAGTGAGATTTAATTTTATAGAGATTTACTCTTTGCTAGATCTATATAGAACTTCAGCTCAGTGGACCAAAAAGTGGACTGTGGGAATTTATATGGTGCTATTTCCATTCTTTCTTGATATACCAATTCAGATATTCATTCTTTCCCATCCTAGGGCTTGAAACACATAATCCATATGCCTTTTAGCATTCAAATTGAGCTTTGCATTTTGTATGATAATCTAGCTATAACAATTCTGCAAATTGACAGAAATCATTTAGGTGAGATAGATAATAAATTGATGGCAAGGGTATAATTTTCTGAATGCAGATAGATTCTAGAATGTCAAAGAAAACTAGTTTTGCCTCTGACATGGTAATTTTCTGCATAGAGATAGTTCTGTATGAAAGACTATCTGGTATTGTGGGTCTCTGCCTGCTATCTAGTGTAATACATTCTGTACACAGACTTGAGTGTTAAAGAAACTCAGAATCTTTTTCATACATTCAGTTCTTTGAATATGTAACTGCGATTCCTAGAATATCTAATTTTAGCATGCCTGGAGGACACAAAGTTGGAAAATGCTTTCTTTAAAAAACAAAGTGAAAATGTTTATATAGGTTGTTTCAGGTATAAAACTCCAGCAGTGTAAAGTGAGGCTCTTCCTTCACTGTAATAGGAGCAGAATCTGTTATTTACTTGAGTTTATATGCCACTCAACAAAGTTCAAAACTATTTACCAAAGGAAATCCATCCATCCATCTATATCTCCATCCATTCATCCATCTACCCACCCACTCAATTACGGTATCTATCTAAAACTAAAAAACAATTGCAAGAGCAAAGCAGCAGAACTTTAAGGAATAGTAACAAACCTCAAATTTAACCCCAAAAGTAAAGCTTATCACCAACTTCAAGACAATAAGACAGCTAGCCTAATTTCAAGAGGAATGCTAAAGGGGGGGGGGGGGGAGACAGCAACCAAGAAGGCTTATCCCCATAATTGTGAATGACCTTCCATAAGAGAAGGGACCCAGATGCAGCCCAGCCTTCCTATCCTTATGCCACTGGGGAAAGGTGGTTTGGTATATTCAGATATGTGACCCTTTAAACATGAAATCCAGAACTTTGAATTGTACTGAAAGGTAACCAGTGCAGCTTTTGGAAAACTTAAAAGTTCCTAACATTATATAAATATCTGCATTCTGGGTCAGCTAATTCTTCTGGGTAACAGTCATCCAATATTGCTGGGCCAGGTAAAAGTTCTTGAGGAGGTACATCGCTATTTCAAAGGATATGGAACATATTTAGACTACTGTCCACTGGTCCTCCTTAGTTTACTTTTTTCCCTTTTCCTTGTTAAATGAAGAGGGGCTGATTGTAGAAGGGCATATATGAAGACTTTTTAGATTTATCTCAAATGATACGTGAGAAATATACTTTTCTTGATACGTGATTTGTTTCCCTTTAATAATGCTGGAATTCCCTCTCCACCTCCTTTCCTGCTGTTGTGCAAATACAGTCGGGGCAGGGGATAAGAAAAAAGATATTTTGCAGTTCTTGCGCGTAAGACCAAGCCAGGATTATAATATCCACCTTCTCATTTTGGCAAATAGGAAATATTGATTTGCTATAAAAACTCTTTGTTGTAGNTTATTATTATTATTATTATTATTATTATTATTATTATTATTATTATTATTATTATTATTATTATTATTATTATTATTATTATTATTATTATTTGGATTGCTTCGATGCTCCGCATCTCCGTTTGGGCTCTGGAATATTTTGCAGAACGTTTTTTCCCCCGTTTGATAAATGGAAGAGGAGGAGAATCCCCGACGTGCCTTCTCTTGCTTTTAGCGGTCAGGCCTCGCTTCAGCATGACGCGAAGTTTGGGGGGCTCTGGGAAAAAATGTTAATGGTCCCAAGTATAATCTCCGGGTGCTTTTGAAATGGGACGGGGTTTTTCTCAGCCTCTCTGGACGTCAGCCATGTAAAATCCTTCCTCGTTTGGAAGGCTGTAGCCTTTCCAAGTGAGGAGGTGGGATGAATTGCGTGGGAGAATGGATTTTCTATACATGATTCTGAATGGATGAGGAGAGTTTTGGATCTGCTCGGTTGGGAAAAAAAAAAAAAAAAGCAAAATTCCCCCGTTTAAGGGCTGGTGGAATATATGGGAGTTGAGATTAGAGATGACAGGTTTAATGGTACACCGAGTAACATTAGATAAGAATGTCTATTACTACTTCCAAATGTTTCTGTGTGTTCTTATGATTTTGTGCACGTTCATGTCTCTGAATTAGATCAGAACATGAACATTTCATGCACTGGCTTCCCAGTGTAGCTTCAGGGATCTGTAGTCAGTGACACTCATTCTGGTGCATTCCAGTTGAGGTAGATGGATTAGCAAACCAACATGCCAGTTTCCTGAAATGGTGGGAGGCGAGGCTGGGGCACAGTACTTTCTACTGTAAACTAGCCTCAGGTAGAGAAGATCCAGATCCCATCAAAAATGAAGCCAATCCTGGCTGAACACCAACAGTGATTGGCTGAGTTTGCATATTTATAACATTGGGCTATAAACCATGGTTTACTCATCAGTAAGACTAGGTCAGGGGTAGGCAACCTTGGCTCTTTTATGACTCGTGGACTTCAACTCCCAGAATTCCTGAGCCAGCATGGCTGGCTCAGGAATTCTGGGAGTTGAAGTCCACGAGTCATAAAAGAGCCAAGGTTGCCTACGCTGGGACTAGGTGTACACAACATCTAAAGCCAAACCACATTACATAATGACGTAGCATGATATTGCCTCAAATTTTTAATTTCAGGGCTCTTTTTCATAATTGCAACAGACTCATTACTGGTACTTAAACAACTATTTCCATTGTTTAGCATTTCTTTACTTCTTTACACTTGCCATGGATATTTACTTAATCTTAAAAACAGGATAGATAGCCTGAAAAATTCACCCTTTACCAAAAGACATAAGTAAAGAAATCAAATAACTATAACTTAGAGCATTACCCTTCCTGAATATGATAGTTGAGACAGAGATAAGATTATTAGGTTAGACATATTTCTTTATCTAACAAAAGCATAACAGTTTTTTTAATGAACACTATAAAGTTCATAATTTTCACTAGGAAATTTATTACTGCAATTCAGGCACTTTTCATGGGGGAAAAATGAATAAAAATTGCTGAAATAATTTCATCAAAAGCTTCATATGAATTTTTAACTGAACTGAAATTTGAATATAAGGTGCTCATTTAGTGTTGAATGTTCTATATTTTACATTTTTTTCTATATTTTCTGTATTATGTAGTAAATCATGTACTTCGTGGTTTAATTAAATTACATTTAAAGAAGTTATTGATTCATTTTTTTATTTTAGTTGAGCAGTACATGACTACTAAGAAGTGACAGCCACTGACTACATAGTTGGATTCACAATTATGGTCTGATTTATATATCATGTTAAGCAGCCCCACCCCAAAATATGCAAACCAGAACTATAGGGGTTACTCTTAGACTACAATGCTATACATACATAGCTAAGATTATCCAGAAGGCTGTTATTTGCAGAATTATATAATACATTTTCTAAATGACTTCATCACATTTTTATGGTTAGGATCTCAAATTCTAAAAAACAAATAGTATTGCTGTGTTACAAATTATATATATGCATCACTCTATAATTTCTGACTATATAGGTAATCTGCCTTTCTCGTAAAACATATTTTAAACAATGTCAAATGAATTGCAAATCTTCTGTCATGTTTATTTTGGAATGGCAATTTCACACAAGTAAATTATTTCCTACTGAATGAGTGTTTATGGGTGCTACCATAGCTACAATGATAAATTTTTTGCAACCTTAATTTTTCTGCATGTGTTCAAGAATGAGGAAGAAATTTTGTTCTGGAAAGTGGTCCAGCTTTGTGAGTGAAGTATAACAGGTGCTATGATAGAAGAGACCTATATATAGTTACAAATGAGGAAGGACTCAGAAGGTCCAGCTGTCATTCCAGAAAGCATATGAGATTTGGCCTCTTTTTGTGTGGACAAGATTGTCTTTACTTTTTAGGTTTAGTGAGATTTAATTTTATTGAGATTTACTCTTTGCTAGATCTATATAGAACTTCAGCTCAGTGGACCAAAAAGTGGACTTTAGGAATTTACTGTATATGGTGCTATTTCCATTCTTTCTTGATATACTAATTCAGATATCCATTCTTCCCCATCCTAGGGCTTGAAACACATAATCCATATGCCTTTTAGCATTCAGATTGAGCTTTGCATTTTGTATGATTAGGATAATCTAGCTATAACAATTCTGCAAATTGACAGAAATCATTCAGGTGAGATAGATAATAAATTGATGGCAAGGCTATAATTTTCTGAATGCAGATAGATTCTAGAATGTCAAAGAAAACTAGTTTTGCCTCTGACATGGCAATTTTCTGCATAGAGATAGTTCTGTATGAAAGACTATCTGGTATTGTGGGTCTCTGCCTGCTATCTGGTGTAATACATTCTGTACACAGACTTGAGTGTTAAAGAAGCTCAGAATCTTTTTCATACATTCAGTTATTTGAATATGTAACTGCTATTCCTAGAATATCTAATTTTAGCATGCCTGGAGGACACAAAATTGGAAAATGCTGCTTTCTTTAAAAAACAAAGTGAAAATGTTTATATACTTTAGGTTGTTTCAGGTATAAAACTCCAGCATTGTAAAGTGAGGCTCTTCCTTCACTGTAATAGGAGCAGAATCTGTTATTTACCTGAGTTTATATGCCACTCAACTCAACATATTCAAAGCTGTTTACCAAAGGAAATCCATCCATCTATATCTCCATCCATTCATCCATCTACCCACCCACTCACCTATCTATCTAAAACTAAAAACAATTGCAAGCTGAACAAGAGCAAAGCAGCAGAACTTTAAGGAATAGTAACAAACCTCAAATTTAACCCCAAAAGTAAAGCTTATCACCAACTTCAAGACAATAAGACAGCTAGCCTAATTTCAAGAGGAATGCTAAAGGGAGGGGGGGAGACAGCAACCAAGAAGGCTTATCCCCATAATTGTGAATGACCTTCCATAAGAGAAGGGACCCAGATGCAGCCCAGCCTTCCTATCCTTATGCCATTGGGGAAAGGTGGTTTGGTATATTCAGATATGTGACTCTTTAAATGTGAAATCCAGAACTTTGAATTGTACTGAAAGGTAACCAGTGCAGCTTTTGGAAAACTTAAAAGTTCCTAACATTATATAAATGTCTGCATTCTGGGTCAGCTAATTCTTCTGGGTAACAGTCATCCAATATTGCTGGGCCAGGTAAAAGTTCTTGAGGAGGTACATCGCTATTTCAAAGGATATGGAACATATTTAGACTACTGTCCACTGGTCCTCCTTAGTTTACTTTTTTCCCTTTTCCTTGTTAAATGAAGAGGGGCTGATTGTAGAAGGGCATATATGAAAAGTAGACTTTTTAGATTTATCTCAAATGATATGTGAGAAATATACTTTTCTTGATACTTGATTTGTTTCCCTTTAATAATGCTGGAATTCCCTCTCCACCTCCTTTCCTGCTGTTGTGCAAATACAGTCGGGGCAGGGGATAAGAAAAAAGATATTTTGCAGTTCTTGCGCGTAAGACCAAGCCAGGATTATAATATCCACCTTCTCATTTTGGCAAATAGGAAATATTGATTTGCTATAAAAACTCTTTGTTGTAGCAAGAATTTAGTATGTTAATTTAATATTATAAATAAGGAATAGATGGAGGTGGGTTAGAAAACATGACATGTATAAGGATATTTGTAAACTCTCTTTTAAATTGGTAATTATTTTCTCTTCCCAGAGTTGAAGCTTTGCGTGATGCAGCATCTTCAATGGAACAAGAAAAAGAAGCTCTTCTGGAAATGATCCATAATATACAGAATAGCCAGGATATGAGGAATATTAGTGAAGGTAATACCCCAAACTTCTTTGTGAATGTGTAAATATATGCATATTTGTAGTATCTGATGAATACACATAAGGGGATTTTTTTTAGTGTCTTCATAGTAGATAGACTTATACAGGTACTCCTCGACTTTCTATTGCTAAGCAAGACAGTTAAGTGGGTTGTGCCCCATTTTATTACCTTTTTGCCACCGTTGTTAAGCGAATACCGTAAGTACAATTGTTAAGCGAATCATGTGGTTGTTAAGTGAATATGGCTTCTCCCATTGACTTTGCTTGTTGGAAGCCAAGTGGGAAGGTTAAAAATAGTGATCACATGATCTGGAGGAGGACAGGGCAATTGTCATAAATACATACCAGTTGCTAAGTGTCCAAATTTTGATCACGTGACCATGAGGATGCTGCATTAGTTGTAAGTGTAAAAATTGGCTATGTCACTTTTTCAGTGCCATTGTAACTTCAAACAGTCACTAAATGAATGGTTGTAAGTCGAGGGTCACCTGTACTAAGTGATAATTTCTTAATATGCTACAACGGACAGGATTCAAGGGCGACAATAAGCTGAAACAAATCAAACCATGCTATTTTAGTGTGTTCTGTTAATCTAGCCAGTGTTTTTTCTGTGGTAAGCTGCTAATACTAATCAAGTCAAAATCTCTGTTAAGTATTATCAAGCCCATTACAATTATCATTGTACTCCATCTTCCATGGATTGTAGCAAAAATATGATGCAGTAATTCTTAATTTATCTTGACTCTTCTGACCTTGCTGGTCAATTGGTGTTATGTAAAACGTTAAAAGCAGCATTTTCAATTTCAAAATATAGGTGAAAGAGAAGAACTTAATCTGACTGCCAAGCGCCTTATGGGCCGAACCATCACAGTTGAGGTTTCAGTAGAAACCATAAGAAATCCTCAGCAACAGGAATCCCTGTTGCGGGCTACCCAGATGATTGATGAAATAGTCAATAAACTCTTGGATGATTTGGAAGACTCAAAGAGCCGGTTAATGTCACTTTATGGAGCTTGTACATCTGAGACACCATCTGGACCTGTTGATCAAAAATTTCAGTCTGTTGTCATCGGATGCGCCATAGAAGATCAGAAGAAAATTAAAAGACGGCTAGAGACTTTGCTTAGAAATATAGACAACTCTGAAAAGTCCATCATGCTTCTAGAAAACCAAAAAACAACTTCAAGGCAACTCTGCAACAATGGAAAAGATTAAAAGCTTTTGATTATCGTTATGAAAATGTTTTCTTAAAAAAGCAAAGAAATGCTGCCATTTTAAAATATATAATGCATGGTCTTGTTAGTACAGGTTACATGCCCTGAAACTGAAGGGAGTTTATATACCTCTTGTACAAATCCTTGGGCATTCAGAAACAAAGATGGAAGAAGATAGTTCTGGAAAAAAAAATACCCTTACATTCCTTTGAGGGGAAAATATGTCTGCTTCCATTAAAAAAAACCCAACCAACCAACTCTAAAACGTCTTCATAAAGCACGTCCTGAGGCAACTACAAATGTTATGCATCATAGAAGCACATAAACACATGAACATTCTGTACTTTTTATCCTATCAACAGGCTGGCTAGAATGTTCTGCCTTCCGTGCTTTCCTGTTCAAAGAATACATCTTTAAAGGGCTTGGCACATTGATATAAGTAACTAATTGCCTTATTTGAGAGAATGTAGGCATTTCATATCCAAAGGATAAATCTTTTCATAAATGGTATTCCATTTATTCCTTTTAGTACTGTATTGATTTTAGGCAATAGTGTCCCGTTAATCCCTAGAGATAGTTTAGTAATATCTATTTTGTTCTTGAAAGATTAATCTATCATAGACAATTCAATTAGATTGTATTCCTCTTTAGTGAATAAATCTGTTTAAGAGAGATGGCAACGTGGAAAAAACACGAACAAAAAAATTATATGTACTTCCTTATTGCTGAATATTCATAAATAAAACAAATCATGCTCCATGCATTAAATTAGTATCTTTTGAATATGCAATTTACTGATGAATAGATCTCTAAATCCTGTTCACTATGAGAATGCCTTAGCTACATTTAAAGTGATCTCCTATTATTTTATTTGCTCAAAAGCACAGTGCATTTAACATTTCATACAAATGTCTATACCTATTACATTTCCTCTTTCATCTTCTCACAGTATTCCAACCTCCTTGAAAAAGTTGCACAGGAGCAGTAAGTGAAAGTTGCTCATATTTTACATCTGTGAAAGATGTTACCCCATACTTAAAGCATGGAATATATAATTTCATTCCACATGTGCCATAATCTATATATAGAAGAAAAAGAGCAGCACGATGTTGCTAGAAAAGCATGGTATAGGAAAATGTTCAGTCACTCAGCAGAATTGTCCTCACAAATCTTAGATATTGTGCATGTTGAACTATTAGCTAGCACTGTGCATTGCTTTGGATTTTAAACAGTTTACAACAATTGTGCTGTTGCAAGATAAATCTAGTAATACAGGTAGTTCTCAATTTATGATCACAATTGAGCCAAAACTTTATATTGCTAAATGACAAATTTGTTAACTGAGTTTTGCCCCATTTTTCGACTTTTGTTGCCACATTTGTTAAGTGAATCACTGCAGTTGTTAAATTAGTAAAATGGTTGTTAAGTGAATCTGGTTTCTCCATTGATTTTGCTTGTCAGAAGGTTGCAAAAGGTGATCACGTGACCCCAGGGACACTGCAACTGTCATAAATGTGAGACAGTTGTCAAGCCTCCAAATGTAAATCACATGACCAAGTGTGAAAAACGGTTGCAAATGTGAAAATGGTAATAATTCTTTGCTTTCAGTGCCGTTGTAACTTTGAATGATCACCAAGCAAACCGATGTAAGTTGAGGACTACCTGTGCTTCCAAAGATTTCAAATACAAATTGAAAGATTTTAAAATACAATTGGAGATTTTATAAAATAATGTACTGGGATATGTTGGTTTGTAATTTGTATTATTTAGTAATAATACACATTCCAAGAGATAAGGTGGTAATTTTGTTACGAGTACCGGAAACAGAGTGGTATTAGGGCATGTGAAACAAACAAAATATTCCCTCCTCTCCTTCCCTGGGATTTAAATAACAATAAATAATGTCACCTGAGCCATAACACATTTAGAAGGCCAAGGAATATTGATAAAGCTGGGAAGGAAGGATAGGCTCTGGGAACCAAGCCAGGATGAGATAAGCCTCATAAATGTAATTTTCAAAGACAGCTGTGTCTGAAAAATAGCGTATTTTTGCCTTTTCAATAAAAAGTTAAAGAGTCCACTCCACCACTAATCTTGCTAAATATGGTAGGCTATAATAATAATAAAGTTGGAAGGGACCTTGGAGATCATCTAGTCCAACCCCCTGCTCAGGCAGGAAACCCTATACCATTTCGGACAAATAGCTGTCCAGTCTCTTCTTAAAAACTTCCAGTGTTGTAGCATTCACCACTTCTGGAGGCAAGTTGTTCTACTGGTTAATTGTTCTAACTGTCAGGAAGTTAGAGGAACTGTCCTTAGTTCTAGGTTGCTTCTCTCCTTGATTAGTTTCCATCCGTTGTAATTTATATAGAGGTAGTCCTCATTTAGACTGGTACAATTCTGATGAAAAGTAATTTTACCACTAATCCTCACATTTACGACATCTGCAGGTCTGTAAAGCAAAAGAAAGCTGAAGATAAGCACAGCCACTTCGTTTAACAATCAAATTTCTGGTACCAACTGTTGCTAAATAAGGACTCGCCTGTAACTCTATAGAGAAGGGTCATATCCTTACCTACTTTTAGATTTGCTTCTGCTGCCTCAGGTACTATAATAAACAGTTATGCTTCAAGTGAATTGTGTGATGATCTCTACTTTAAATTAACTCGTAAGAAAATGTGAGACAAGCATACATAAAAAGCACCCTACGAAGAGAGAATGAGGAAATTAGAAATCACTGAGGAAAGATTAATGTGGGACAACATTTTTCAAAGTCCCTTAAAAGGCTGTCTGACAATACAAGGTTTAGAATAATGCTTTAAACTTACAGGAAAAGGCAAAACCTTAGAGCGTTAGGATCAACTTGTGATCAATGGTAAGAACTTAACTCTGCTTTAGCAGTACAGTTCAATAATGGAGCCAATAACAGTTATTTCATTTGGATTCTGCACTGACCAAGATATAGGATTTGAAAGCTTTAATGGCTCTTTGAAGGAACAAGGCAAACACACTGAGCATTTTTTTTTATCAATTTATCAAATTTCTCAATATATTTAACTGGAGTTTGTAAATTTGTTATAATGTATTTATTGTAAAGAATCTGGATAATTCGTGAACTATTTTGAGCAACTGGTCATAAGGCTTAACTATAAAAAAGGATATTTTTCCTAAATTAATTTTTCAAAAACAATCGATATCACAGTTAAGCAATATTTGAGTATCTAAAACATAAATTTGGCTATTAATTGGGATATGAAATGGTTAAATGATTCTGGATTTCCAGTATCATAAGAAGTAACAACTGGAACAGTTTATTCGCTCCTTTGATGATAGGGTGCCTAGCAAATTAACACTTGTCTCAGAGAGTGATTTGATAAAGGTCTTCATTTTTTTTCTTCTGTTCAGTTGTGTCCAGTTCTCAGAGACTGCTTCTATAAATTCCTGCAGTTTTCTTTGCAAAGTTCTTCAGATGTGGTTTGCCATTGCCTCCTCCTAGGACTGCGAAAAAATGGTTGGCCCAAAAGTAACCTAGCTGGCTTTGTGCCCAAAGGATTAGAATTCATGGCCTCCCAGTTTCTAGCTTGACACCTTAAGTGCTACACAAAACTGGCTCTCAATGTTTTCATTATACATCTCCAAAACGATTAAAAGGTACCAAAACATGGATGCTGCCTGCTAGGTACCAGATCAAGTTCTAAAGCTTGAATAGTTTTAACAACTTTTCTGCATCACTTCAGTTTTTTAGAAACATATTTTTGGCACTCACACAATATTTAATACATTGTGATCTGATAAATGCAGAATGTTTTGATACCTGTATGAATCTATATAATTCCCTTAACTATAAAAGCATTTAAAAGTCTAAATGGGTTTTAGTGAGCATCATGAAATAACACTGATTGATATTAGCAAATATTACTTTAACAAGATTTATGGTAATTTACTCATGTTCCTGTCAGTATGTAATGGAGAGCCTTCCATCCCATAAGCCAGAGGTTGTTGCCCAGTGTATCCCAACCATTCAGTGAGTCTCATCCCAACCTCTACAGGTAGTCCTTGATTTACAGCCATTTGTTTAGTGACCATTCAAAGTTACAACGGCACTGAAAAAAATGATGACCGTTGCAGCATCCCCATGGTCACATGATCAAAATTTGGACACTTAGCAACTGGCTCATATTTATGATGGTTGCAATGTCCTGGGCTCATGTGAGCACCTTTTGCAACCTTCTGACAAGCAAATCATTGGGAAAGGCAGATTCACTTAACCATAACTTAACCCAGTGATTCAGTTAACTGTGGCAAGAAAGGTCGTAAAATGGGGCAAGACTAACTTAACTGTCTAGTTTAGCCACATACATTTTGGGCTCAATTGTGGTCATAAGTCAAAGACCAACTGTATTTGAGTTCATCCCACCCCACCCCTTAATGACAAGCTATATTCTGAAGGAGAAGAAAAAATTTAGGGTTTGCTATTGCTTTTCTGGGAGCGGAATAGGACAATTTGCCCAGCCAACTTGTTGTGGGACATCTCGCCACAGCCAACTCTCTGCGGGACGATTTAACAATTCAATTTAATTATTTAAAATAAATAAAAAAATATTTAATTTTTGTCATTCGTATTTTATTCTGTCCCTCCTTTTAATGATTGTATTCCACCATTTCGTTGATATTAGTGTAACTCTTGTCCCGCAGCGAGTTATCCTGTGACAAGTTGGCTGTGGCGAGTTGGCCATGGCGAATTGTCACGGGAAAGGCAAAGTCTATTTAAGTTGGATCACTGGAACATGAATGGGTGAGGTCTACATTTCATCTTCACCCATGGTTTGAGGCTGCATATATACTTGGGCATAGTCAAAATGGCAATCGTATATTATAAACCTTGATTCTGCTATTATTAACAACCAAAAAAGTAAAATCAGATTCACAAATATAAACATATACGGCTATCATTTAATGTAGAAATTTCCATATAAAAATAGCATGCATGCAGAACCTAGTTATTTAAACCAAGATGTTTTTTTACCAGACAATGAACAACTTTGAATATGTTTGTGTACTTATCCCATAAACCAACACAAATATAATCTGGACCCGTATATAGTCACCTAGTGACTAGCTAGACTTGTTTAAAGGGAGGGATGAAAAGGGATATTGTTCATATCCCGCCTCATTGCCAACAATGAGAATGGTTACTTAAGCAAGAGGAATGGTACACTGTTCAGTACGAAACAGAGGCCAAGTAATCATTGGAAAAAATGTCATTATTTTTTAGATTATAATTAAATTAACAGGATATAAGAACCCTGTTCCAAATACAAGATACAAACTTTTGGACAAGAAAAATCTCTTTTAAGTATAATGTTTTAGTGTTTACAGACATAAAATGTAAAATAATATTCATATAGAAAAAAAATGTTGTAATCAGGCTGGCAGAGTTCCAGCTCTGGTCTTGAATATAACTATGCTCCTGAACTATTGATATTTTAACATTTCTTAGAAACAGTAATTGGCTGCTGGCAGAAGTTTGTTACAGAAATACTGTAGGAATAGTTTGTAAACAGAAAACAATATTGCAGAGGCATACTTCATCAGGTGAAAGGTTTATGAATAATATTGTAAAGTAAGATTTCATTTTTTAACACCCTGAACCTAAATATATTATGTGGAGGTACATTAGCATCAGTGGAAAAGTGCATGTTTACTCAAAGCAAGTCCCATTCATCTGTTCAGTATTAGCTAAGCAGACATTAAGACAGTAACTTTACATTCACACAATGTCATCAAAAACAGGCACATCGTTTAATACCAGAAAAAGGGCCTTATTTCCTTAATAGGAATGCACATTAGATATAAGATGCATTTTTAATCTTTTGATAACAAATCCCTTCATATTTTTCATAAGAATGTATGAAGGATGTAAATTAATAGAGGATTTTTTTTTAAAGGAACCTGCTATATTCTGCTTGGTTATACCATTTCATTTTTCATTTACTTGTCCTGTTATAATTTAGAACATACGGTGTGTGTCTGACAATAGTTGACAAAAAATATAGAAATATAGCAGCATAAACATTACTTTTTGGCACAAAAAAAAAGTTAAGGCCCACAGTGTAGAGAAAAGTGAAATGTGCCAGTACCATTAGAAAAAAAGTTTGAATTTGTCAATCAACTTGTTTTGTTGCCAGAAACTTCGACTTAGACCTAATTCGTGTTTAGCTACCTGAACCTTTGACGATGTTTCTGCAGATACGCACTGCAGTTAAATTTCCTAAGTGGTACAAATATTGCACCACCAATCTTGCCAAAATATATACTGGACTGTTTAAAAAACTGTTAATTTTTACTTCATTGTTAAGGCTCTGCCTCTGAGCCACAGGATCTAACAAGTAGAAAAACTATTTTATGAATGAGATATTTTAAGTATTTCAGCTCAAATTTTGTTTAAAATGAAACCTACTGTATATATTAATTCATCATTCCTTTCAACTAGAAAGTTGTCTTACTGAATGTCAAATGAATGCATTGGTCAATGGTATTATTTCTGACCCTCTTAGGATCTCACTATTTGCCATTACAAATCATTCATTTTAACAGCAGTATTCCCTATCGGTGTAGGTCCATTGTGTGCAACTCTGCTAAAGCACTGATAAAACACCTCTACAGCCAGTTGTGTTCCTTAAGGACTTCAGTTAAACAACTCGGTCAGACCATGATTTGCAGTTCTAGGGTATGCTGCAGCTGCTGAAAGGGCTTCGGCTCTTCTTGGTCCTTTGTTTGTTTGGCCTAAGGTTGATGACGTCACTTCCGTTAAGCAAGTTGGAATTCTGGCCAGAATGACTTCCACCTGCCGTATTGAAAACACCTATATGAAATCAAAGCACAAAAGGGAATTGTACGTATGGCAACTGGCAATCTTTTAACCGTGTCAGATCGGTAACTGTACAATTAAAGCAGAGCTGGAAGCCTGAGTTTTATATTTTAAAAATCAAAGTAAGAAATGCTTTATGGTGAGCCTACACACGCAATATATCTGTAGAAGAGACGGTTCATAACACTATTTTTATCAGGTACCTCGCAAAGAAATAGCAAAGCGGCTTTTAACCTCTTCATCAGTATTTTTGCCATTAGTGGAAATTACTAAAATTCTGATAGTTCACTGGAAAGTGAACTATACTGAACTGAAAATGGCTAGCTTTAATTTATTAATTATTAGATGGCGTTGATACTGTGGCCAAAGACTAGTTTTACAAACGTGAAATGGCACAATACTGTCTGCTTGCAGCATGCAACTGTATACATACCAATTCTGTTACTACTTGTGTGTACAACTTCTGGATCTTCCATTATTCGTTGCTTAAGTTTTTGAAGATACTTCTCAGCCAAATACCTAAAGACTGTAACATAACAAAATATCAAGGCCTTCGGAAAAATATGCATTTTTTATTAGTAAAGCCTACAGTTTCCTTATAACAGTGGTGGTGAACCTATGGCACGGGTGCCAGAGGCGGCACTCAGAGCCCTCTCTGTGGGCATGCGTACTGTCGCTCCAGTCCTAGGCCTTCAGCTGGGTTTTATAAAACCTTTTCGCTTTAGGCCTCCGCCACCGTGTGCAAAAAAAAAAAAAAAGGTTCAATCAGTCAATTTCAACTTCTCGCGGGAAAAGGATCTTGCAAAGTTGGAATTGATTGATTGAACTTTTTAGTCCCACCCAGTTTGCCGTTACCACCGCAGCCACGCCCACCCAATGGGCCACGCCCACCCAATGGGCCACATCCACCCGGCACTCGATGATGCATAAGTGGGTTTTGGCTTGCAGTTTGGGCACTCAGTCTCTAAAAGGTTCGCCATCACTGCCTTATAAACTCAGAGTTACTTAACATGTTAAAAGTGGCAACAGCAGTCTTTCTTATATAGGCTAGTAATGAATAAACAAACAAACAAACAAACACATGCACAGGTTGTTAAATTCAAGACAGAAAAGTCTCTGATGAATACTGCATTTTTCTGTTAGTAATTATATTGATTATGGAATATTAATTATACAGTGGCAAACCCTGCATTTTGAATAGAATATTGTTTCATTCATTGTAATAATCTTATTTCCAGGTTGGAAACGTCAGTTCTCCAAATATTTTGGAGCAATCACTCTCAGCCCCTGCCAGTCTTAGCCAGTTGAGAAAAACTGAAAATAGTGCCTAGGAATTAAGCTTTTTCTAGCCTTTTCTTAAACTTTGGAGTTTAAGTTCAGCTTGTCAAAAACAAGTTGTTCATCTGTAATTCAATCTTAAATAGTTTTATCTATGGAAGTACAAAAGTTGGTGATTCCAGGACATTTTGTTCCTTCTCTGAACATACCATTCCGGGAGCAACTGGGTAGTTTTTGGAGGCAAATTCCAAATGCTGTTTGAGACAGCATTTGGAACTGCCAACCCACCTCCAGAAGGACATTCTTTAATGTAAAGTAGAATATTTTCTATTTTCAAATAACATATTTTGTTTCATTTTGTTTTATGGCTAAGAGCAAGTTTGGTGTAATAGTAAAAGCACCAGGCTAGAAACCAGTGACCGTGATTTTTAGTCTCGCCTCAGGCCAAAGCCAGCTGCTGACTTTGGGCCAGTCACCTTCGCTCAGCTCTTTGAAGAAGGCAATGGCAAATCACTTCCAAAAATGCTTCCAAGAAAACTGGAGGGAGTCATCCAGGCACTTGCCAGAAGTCTAGACTGACTTGAAGGAACACAAAACTTTTGTACTTGCACAGAGTATATAGTCAAGGAACATATAAAACTGGAATTGGATTATAACACAAATCCTACCCTCCATATGCAGTTGCACAGAGAATATAGAGAGTACCAGATAAAATCTAGTTGTCATAGAACTAGTAATTTTTATTTTTTTAACCAAATTTTGAGCCAGTCACTCTCTTAGCCCAACCCAACTCACAGGATTGTTGTGGGAAAAATAGGAGATAGGAGTATTAGGTATGTTCACAGCTTTGAGCTGATTGACATACATGAATACATACATATATAAATAAGTGGGAGTAATAATAATGAAGATGAGGAGGAGGATGCCTATCCCGAGTCCTTGGGAATTAAACAACAGGTGAATAAAAAAAATCATATACAGTCTAAATATCTGGCTGATCTGCAATTAACAGAAATAATAATAATGTATCTCAAGTTTTCAGCACTTCAGACTATCAACAAAGATTAAACTGTCTCAAAGTTTGTCCATTTAAAACAGGTTCTCTGAACTTAGAAAATGTGATTTTAGAGGCAAGTACAGAAAGAGGTTTGTTGCTTCAGTGAGAACCTAGAACTATGCTAGTGCCTGAAAAAAAAGAAAACTAACCAAACCAAAACATAAAAAAGTCTATCTTACCTTCTGTTACATTTAAGTCTTCCTTTACAGATGCCCGATAAAATCTTAATTTTAGTTTTTTTGCAAGCGCCTCTGCTTCTTCACTGTTTATTGGAAGGGAAAGCCTTGTTTTAGACACCAATTATTTTATAGTAAAATAGAATGCATTAATGTAAACTGAACTGAGTTGATAATCTTCATTGAAGTAGACTTAAAAGGGCAGTTAAATAAAAGTAAACAGATGAGAGAAAATATTAACATTAATTTAAAATATTGCCTGCCAAAAATTATAGAGAAAAAGAATGACAGGATTAGTTTTTCATAATTTTAAGTTGGTGAACTTATCAAGAGGCCTATGCTCATTGGGCAGTGAAAGTATGTGGTAAATGAATAAATATGAACTATATAAAAGGTAAGCATCCATTGATATTCAAAAATATATCAATTCTTGGCTGCACCAACGAATGAGTGTTGATAAAAAACGGACTCTGCACTTGTGAGAAACACAAGGACTTAAGAAAAATTAGGACTTACAATAGTCATATATCTTGCATTTGCATAAAGTAAGCCATACAACATCCTCTCTGGCACTGCTCTTAAAATACGGCATTTGAAACTAAATCTCTCTGATTTTTGCAACATTCGAGCCAAACTGTTTCCTGAGAGTGCCAGACCCATACTCAAGAAATGCCAATACGTTTTGTTGTTCATATCGTGAAAAACAGATACAGAAAAGTGCAGGAGGGGCTTTTGTGAGTTCATGCCATTTGATGCAAGATGTCTTTTGATGTCTTTTCTTTGTATTCTTTTATTAAGATTTCCCATAGTGTTTACTTTTGGTTCTTGCAGCTTTCTTGGCAAGAATTATATTTACAAGTAGATCACCTGTTTTGTTTGGTTGTTAACGTACGGTAACTTGACTTTTTCAATGCCTTGGAAAGGGTGGGGAGTATACAGATTAAGAATGGTCTCCCTGCATATATATATATAGGTATTCTGTAATAATGGCTTAACGTGTGTGTACATGTCCAGTGGTGGGATTCAAATATGGGAACAATCGGTTCTCTGTGTGGATGCCACTTCCGGAAGTCCATTCTGGGCCTGGGCAACAAAACATTAGCTACCGGTTCTGCCAAAGTGGTGCAAACCGGCTAAATCCCATCACTGTACATGTCTCTAACTTTAAAGATTCTAATTAACTCTATTCAGAGTTGACAAACGGGTTAAAAATATGGTGGCCTTCTCTCCCTCAGGTCAGCTGCAGTACTTTCTGTCTGGTAGAATGGGTTTTTCTTCTGTTTCTCTCTGGGCTCTGCCCTGGGTAGTTTTGTTCCATAGTGGTCCCCAGTTCCTTGCTGGGTCCTCAGACCCTCTCACTCACAAATCTTATCTAGGCAGGCCCTTCTTGAATCAGCAATTCATCCACAGCACATTTGTCCCCAGTCCATCAGAGATACATCATCCAACACTACTCTTTAGAAGAACAATCAGTCTTCAATAATTCAAACCCTGTCTACATCATAGCCCACCAGCACCTCCTCTAGTTTTCTGCCACCGAAAAATGATTCCCTTCCCAGAAGCTTGTTGTTTTTTTTTAAGCCTCTACCTTCTTTGCCTATCAGCTGTCCCTCATCTTGATCCTATGGAAAAATATTTCTATGGGGAGCTGAGTTATCTCTCTTATTCTCAGGTTCTACTGTACATAGCGAATAAAATAAAGCAAAGTGTTCATTTAGATATATCAGACTCACAGGAATCAGACTCAAGGGCTTCTTCACAGTCTTCTTCTGCAAGGCCCTAACTCTGTATGTCTCTTGTGAATATGAAAATTTTATCTGTATCCAGGCTTATCTTAAAACATTATTTGCAGCACTGCAATACAACACGCCTGTTACCTAGTATGTAGTTTGCTCATACAAGTACCAAGGTGAATGTCTTTTTAAATTTACCAAGTATGCTTAAAAGATTTGTTTATTAGAATTTAATGAAAGCACCTACTTTTTTATACAAGAATCATCAAGGAGGTCAATCTTATTCTGAACAAGAACTGTGGGAATGTCTCCGACTTCAGATACGACTTTTTGTCTCCAGGTAGGAATTGCTTCAAACGATTCCCTATCAACAGTTGAAAACACCAGCACACAAGCCTGGGCTCCTAAAATAATAATAAGAGAAATAAATTGAATGCTCAGTGAAAGTTTCAAACAAAATGAATAAATAATAAATAACCGGACAAATATGTTGGATGAATGTATTAGTTATGGGACTGATAAAGCCGTATGACTTTACCAAAAAGTCATCAGTATACAACTGAAAAAAATCAAAAGAACAACATAAAAATAAAACTTAATTTGCAAATATAAAATACAAAATATTAACCAAACAGAAAAACATTAACCAAGAGGGGGCTCCTCTCAACTGGAGCTGAGTGCGTGGGTGATGCCTTGGGAAAAAGCCGTGTCTTTCTAAAAGCCAGCTGAGTTGGGGTCTGTCATATCTTGGGGAATGGGGGAAGATCTTTCCAAAGCATAGGGGCAGCCTCTAAAAAGGCATATTTGCTAAGTCCCTTGTATGGCAAAGATTAAAAGAGAACGTGGGGCAGATTATTATTATATAGCTTAAGGGGGTGGGTGGGAAGATTATTATATCATTTTAGATACATTTATATAAGGTTGACGCTGCACCCCCCCTTTTTTGCAGACCCCTAAGTCCTCTGTGGCCACAACTACAGAAACCTGGTAGTATAGTTCCTGAGGCAGTAAATTCACAAATGTAAAATAGCCATAACAAAATAACTCATAGTTAAGTAAAAAAGAAATGGAAAAGGAAACAAAACTCCTAGTGTTCCCCCCCCAAAATGGGGGCAAAAGTATAGAAAACATGTCATATGACCCAACTTTGTTTCTATTACTTTCCCAATCATTATGGCCAATTTTTTGCTTTAAATGGAGCCTCCAGCCTCTAAAAGGTTGCTCCTACTTGGCCTAAGCCAGTGATGGCGAACCTTTTAGAGACTGAGTGCCCAAACTGAAACCCAAAACCCACTTATGTATGGTTGGGTGCCGGGTGGGCGTGGCCCATTGGTAGGGTGTGGCTCATTGGGTGAGTGGCCCATGGGTGGGCATGGCCCATTGGGTGGCCATGGGTGCCATGGTAATGGCAGACTGTATGGGAAAAAAAAAGTTCAATCAATCAATTCCAACTTTGCAAGATCTTTTTTCTGCCCGCGAGAAGTTGAAATTGATTGATTGAACCTTTTTTTTTTTTTGCACACGGGCACGGAGGCCTAAAGCGAGAAGGTTTTATAAAACCCAGCTGAAGGCCTAGGACTGGGGCGATGGCGCGCGTGCCCACAGAGAGGGCTCTGCGTGCCACCTGTGGCACGTGTGCCATAGGTTCGCCACCACAGGCCTAAGCAATAAAAAGAACATTTTAAAAATTAGTTTTGCATATAGACAAATTAATAAATAAATAGAGAAAGGCCACTCCCCTTATAAAACTCAGACGGTTTCTACTGTATGACTCTTTGAGGGTGGTGAGCAGTCTAGAAGCATGAAATATAAATAAAAAAGAAATCCTGGTTCTCAGGATCAATCCTTAATTTGTTTATACTACCACTTCCATGTAAGGAACCCCTTTTAGGAGACAAATACTTGAAGATGAACAATAAACCTTAGTGCTTAGTATTATGTGAGTTGGTTATCCATTACATCTGATCCAGCTGCCCAACGGAATGAAAGGTAACCTGATACTTGGAAGCATTCTACCTGTATTCGGAGCTGCTTCTCTTGGGCTGCAATTGGTAAAGGAACCTGTGTACTCAGTGCTTTTTTTGTAAAAAAAAAAAAAAAAAGGTGCTGGAACTCACACGTTTATACAACCTGCCTTGCCTACCCTACAAGGTTCCATCAAAAAAAAGGTGCCGGAACTCCGTTCTGGGCGTTCTATGACAAAAAAAGCCCTGTGTGTACTTAATATAGCCCAATTTCCTATACCTTAGGTTCAGACTCTTTGCAGAGTTATAATCTCTTCTGCAAAATCACGCTTAAAGGATATGCTAATATATTCCTGATCTCTAATTTAGTTGGAAGGGCAATTATTAAAATAACATTAAGTTGAATTTGTAAAACAAAGCTGAATTTGATTAACAAATTCTATTTTAAAAGCGTAAGAATTGATTAAAATCTGAGAGAAAGACATTGTAACAGTAACTGAAATGTTTAATGTCTATAAAAAGGTATCTAGGTTATGGATTAAACAAGGATAGGCCACCCGTGGCATTCCAGACATTGCTGATTCCCAGTAACCCCAGGATACATGGCCAATGGTAAGGAATGCTCCTTTACATGTAAAGACTATCCAGTTACATTTCTGAGTCTCTGGATTAATTAGCATTTCATCATCATCCTGCATTTCAGAGAAAACATTAAACTGCTTTTCATCAAAATAATGGTTTGAAAAACTGAGATTAATCTATATTAGGTAATAATTAGTAATAATTAACCAGTGCAATCCTATGTATAACCATTCAGAAGTAAGTTCCGTTATCTCTCAGATAAGTGGATGTAAGATTGTATCCTAAATCTATCTTCAACAGGAAACAAAGAACCTAAATTTCAATATCCCTAAAATGGAATCACTATTGTTTATGAATCAACAGAATCGCCGCTCAGAGTCCCTTTGTGAGGGAGATGGGCAGTTTCTAAATTTGATAAATGATTAAATAAAGTTATATTTTGGGCTTTGGCAAGATTCAGAACCAATATCAGACTATGGTTTTGGTAGCCATCACATGTTAGACTGTCACTAGAAATTGAAAGCAAAGTGAAAGATTTGTATGTGTAACTCAAGGAGGGTTGCAGGAAAGCTGGGGTAAATAAGTTAAAGCTTACTGGAATCTGGTACAAGCTTGCTGTGGAAAATATGGAAATAACTTGAGGATTAGGAATCTAGATGCCAGGAGTTGTAATTAGCAGAGGCAGAGCAGAAGAAAGAGGATGATGGGATGAAGAGATTTTTATCAGAGAAGCAAAGAAGCTATGAGGAAATCTCAATAGAGCTCAGGGGAAAAAAAGAATCTCGGTTTAGAAAAGTATATAGGGAGTTGTGAGTGCAAGCACAAACATGCAAACTTAGGACTTAGCTTAATGTAAATAAGGTCTAACTTATAGAGAGGAAACCTGGAAAAAATGTTTAGGACAAAGAAAAGGAAGTGGGAAGCAACCTGAAGAAATAAAAAAAGAGGCAGAGATTTAAAACAAAAAAGGCTAGTGAAGTGTCATAGTGTGAAAAACATTACTTGTGAGTCAGGCAGTTTGAGACATAAGGAAGCTGAGCGATCTCATTCCCACTGAATTCAATAGTTACTGTCATGTAAAGTTATCTTGTCTGTGTCTAGATATATATGGTTACTCTTTCATGCAAATGGCAAAACACAGCTTTGGCCAGTCTTTGGCTCTGAACTTAAGAAAGGTGTTTTGCCTATTTATTACTAGAAGAGTCTTGGGATGTTGGATTTAGTGGATGGAAGAAACGTCCCTTAGAGCCTCCTGCTGGTGGGAGAGTCATCCAGATCCCTGGTTGAAGGACTAGAAATGAAATTGCGGGGGCCTGATCTGATTATTACTAATTTAAAAGCTTGCAACTAGAATTTAAATTTATCACAAGCCAGACGTCTTTACATTAACAGGTGGTTTTTTCCCCTCTTACCTCTATAATAAGCTTTAGTAATTGCATCAAATTCTTCTTGACCTGCCGTATCCCATAGCATTAACCGGACATCTTCATCATTGACTCTAAAAATATAATATATTCTTATCAATAAGCATATTAAAAAAAACAAGGAAATTGTAATCTAAAAAAAAATACTTAGCAAAACGGCTTTCAGTAATCCCATTGTTTTTCAAGCAGACTTAAATTTCCACTGATATGGACTCATGCATATCAGAGTACCTCATTTTTCCAATTCTTTTAGCTACAGATGTATTGTTTCTGAAGGATTTGGCACAAAATTGAGAAACAACTGGCAAAGAATTACGAGGACTCCACCTAAATATACTAGTAGGAGTGGGTTTGGAGGCAAATTGCTTGGGAGCCAAACTCCAAAACTGAAACTTATTTAACCGTATCTAACTACATCATGTCCTTTTCTTTCCCTCTGCTTTGAGAGGAAGTAAAACTACTCTGTGGACTGAAATAAATTAAACAATTTTTTTGAAATTCCATTTATTTATATTGGATTCTTCATGTTCTATACAAATCACTGTCATTCAGTTTTATAAATGTTTATAACTCTTTGTCACATTTACAATATTGCTACTCCATCTTGCCACTACTGGTAAAATAGCTTTTTCCTTCTAACACACTATAGCAGTGATGGAGAACCTTTTAGAGACCGAGTGCCCAAACTGCAACCCAAAACCCACTTATGCATCGTCGGGTGTCAAGTGGGTGTGGCCCATTGGGTGGGTGTGGCCCATTGGGTGGGCGTGGCTGCGGTGGTAACAGCAGACTGGGTGGGACTAAAAAGTTCAATCAATCAATTCCAACTTTGCAAGATCTTTTTTTCCCGCGAGACGTTGAAATTGACTGATTGATTGAACCTTTTTTTTTGTACATGGCGGCGGAGGCCTAAAGTGAAAAGGTTTTATAAAACCCAACTGAAGGCCTAGGACTGGGGCGACGGCACGCGTGCCCACAGAGAGGGTTCTGAGTGCCACCTCTGGCATCCGTGCCATAGGTTCGCCACCACTGCACTATTATTGCATTTATTATTCAAATTAGTAATTCTGGAACTTCTGCAGACAGACTACAGAATACAGTTAGATGCTTCATGTTCACATTTATGCAAAAGGCTTTTTCTGAAAAGCATTACCCCAGCACTTACAAATATACTGAATTCAGTTCTAAAAATGAGTAAATAATAATATTCCCATCTGTTAGATACGTACTGCATTTCTCTTTCCAAGAAATCAACTCCAATTGTTTTTTTATAGTCTTTTGTAAAAATTCCTTTGCAGTATCTCTGGATCATACTAGATTTCCCAACAGCTCCATTTCCAACCACAACCACCTTGATGGCCACCTCCAAATCTTCTTCCAGCATTTTGCCCAGTCAGAAAGTTGTAACTTGTTTCTCAATTCAATGTAGATCTCTGAATTCTCTACCTGAAAAAAAAGGGAAGAAGGTAATAATAGTTTCTTTGATTACAAAAATAAAAATACACATTTTATTTTGACTTCTAGTTTTCTCATGGTTTTACAATACATCTGCAGAGCTTCAATATTAAACTGAAACATCTAAATCAATTAAATTATCTCTGTGGTGGATGGGGAGTAAGCCATGAGGATATCTCACATAAAAACAGTTACCAGATCATGTTCATGCCACAGTTAGGAGAATGAAAGGAGCAATCCAAAGAAACAGCTGTGTATACATATTTATAATAAGCTCAATTGAAACCAATGGGTGTTACTATTGAATAAACATGCATTATATTGCATGCTAATGCTTCACTGTCTTCTCTTGTCTGTTCTATTAATCTTATGCCCAATATAACTATTACCAAGTTTGTGCATGTTAACCACTATATCTATAATAATTATGTACAATTTTGCCATGTGTCTCAATTAAGAAAATCCAAAGAACTTGCTACCAACATCCACATATACATATCACCTTTGCATACCACACTTTGTATCACATTACAACACATTCCTATGTGCATGGATCCACACTTTAACTTTAGTGGGACTTTCCCCCCCAGAATCTTATATAGAATGTATTGCACAACAGCATTAATGTAGTATGTAAATTTGTCTCAATTCTTTGCTACTAGCATACATTATGCAATAACTTAGACAAATATAGACAAACTTAGATAAATCACAGACAACCAAAACTAATGCTAATTTAAAATTATTAGATGATGCTCACAAATACGTGTCACCATCTTACTAGAAATCAATTTATTTTTATATTACTAAGATGTTTACAGCAAGTATTTCATAAACCACCCTAGCTTTAAAGTTTTCTTTTAAAATAAAGTTGCAGAATTAGTCCCGGTAAATTAGACAGAATGCCTTATTAAGTAAATGTGTTTGTGTGTGTACACACAATTCCAGTATAAATGGTACCACACACACACACACACACACACATATAGGGGCAAGATTTATTGTTTCTAACTATGTACAGCATCTATTGTATATGTTGTACTGATATGCTGAAGTAGCCAGGACCAATTTTAACAGGTATAAGGGCACGATAGCTCACTATTGTCAGCGTATTGCATCAAAATGACCTTCCCACCATTACAATTCCAGTATAAATGGTACCAACAACAAATTAAATTGCAAGCCTGCTAGATACTTTGTTTTGGACAGTCTTACAACAAGCATTATTACATAAATGCTATGTTCTCTATCTTATGGATAGGTAGATTTATCAATGTATATATGTGTTTTCTTCTATAATGTAACAGTACTGCAGAAAAAAAAATGGTTAAAGAGCTGAAGCAAAATAAAACTTTAATGGATTCAGCAAGACACCATCTTTTAAACCAAGTGTTAAAGTTATAGGTAATCCTGGACTTACGACCACAATTGAGTCCAAAATTTCTGTTGCTAAGGCAGTTAAGTGAGTTGCATCTCATTTTATGACTTTTTTTTACCACAGTTGTTAAATGAATCATGCAGTTGTTAAGTGAATCTGGCTCCCCCATTACCTTTGTCAGAAGCCAATTAGGAAGTTACAAATCATCTGAGCCCAGGGCACTCCAACTGTCATAAATACATGCCAGTTGCCAAGTCCTCTAATTCTGATCACGTGAGCATGGGCAAACTGCAAGGGTCAGAAGTGTGAAAACCAGTCACAAGTCACTTTTTTCACTGCCATTACAATTTCAGACAATCACTAAACAAATGGCTGTAAATCAAGGGCTACCTGTATAATTTTGATAATCATTTTGGATATCATGCTTACATTTTACACATGTGCACAGTGCCTGCCAAAGTTTAAAATTTTTCCAGGCAATCCCAAGTTCTATACTAGTGTTTTTTCTTAAAATACATCTAGGATTACTTGAGATGCCTGTCCACATTAGCCTTCTTCTCTCTACCGATTTATCCTCATTCCATTCACTATGATTTGCAGTCTTTTTCCTTCCCTGCCCTTTGCAGCATTCTTCACCTTTAATCCCATAAATCAAGTGTGCGCTTCTGTATTATTGCAGCAGCTGGAAAATAGCTCCTTCTCATATGACCCATTTTTTTCTGTTTTGGAAAAGATTCTTTTATACCATTTCTCCCTCTTACTCATTAAGGAAGCAGTATCAAGAGTTTACCTTAGTAAGCCTTACTCTTCCTCTAAATTTCCCCTTTATATTTACTAAGTAGGTGAATCCAACCAAAATGTTATTAACCCCTTCCGCATAGAAAGTTTCCATTTATACCAAAAATTTGAAATATTGGTATATGGACGGTCCTTGTTTAATGACCATTCATTCAGCTATAACACTGAGCTAATGATAGTTACAACTGTCCTTCACGTTCTGACCATAGTAGCATCCCGCAATCATGCAATTTGTGATTTGTAACCTTCCTGCTGGCCTCCCACAAATAAACTCAGTGTGGAAACTGGCAGGAATTCAGAAGCTGCAATTACATGAGCTCCTCCCTTTACAACCTATACACTCCTCACTTAATAACAGTAACTGAGGACTGCCATTGCTAAGCAGTATGGTCATATGGCATCATGCTTTATAACTTCATGGCTATTTAGGTCGCAATGATTATCGTTATACCTGTATAATACAAAAGAAATGGCTAGTACAGTACCATGGTAGGCACTAAAAATAGTTGCCTTATATTCATTCATTCATTTCACACATATGGGCTGTCAAATTGGAAAGACTAAAGTTGACTTACACTGAAAAGTCAATGAAAACAGAATGCAAAAATAGAACATGAGACAATGCTATGGAAAAATACCTAACAAGCAATTTCAGCCATCCTAATCAATCATTAAAGCAAAACCATGAAATATCATGTCTCGAAATCAAGTTTTAATGCCTTTCTGAAACACAGCATGAATAAAGTCAAACAGTCGTACAAGGGAACAATATTCAAGGACCATACAAGATGGCATGGTTTAACTGAAGGGAAGTAAAATAGGCTACTCTCTTAGATCTTGTATATCTTATAGAAATTCTGGGTGGTGGTCCCATAGATAACCAGATCCAAATCCATGTTAGGTTTTGTAGATGACAATCAGCATCTTGAATCCACTAACCAGTGTAGTTAATGAAACAGAGGTATCATATAGGTTTACTGAGATGCATCTATTACCACTCACACAGCAGCATTCTGGACCACCTGTAGCTTCCCTGTGGTCTTTGGTGCATTAGCTGCATTCTTTCCTAGATCAGAAGCTAATCACAGTGACTAATGCCCTAGTCTCCGTAGGACATGACTATTGCAAGGTCTCTAAGCGAGGCTGCCCTTGAAGACTAACTACTTGGAAGCTTCAGCTGGTTCAGAATGCGGTGGCATGGGATAAGCATGTCTCAGTATGCCCATGTAACATCTTTGCTCTGAAAGCTTCACTGATTACCAGTTTGCTTTCAGATGCTTCAAGGTGCTAGGTATGGCCTATAAAAGCCTTACATTATATAGGGCCTGTTTATTTAGGGACAGTCTATCACCTATGGTGTCTGACTGGCTGGAGGGAGGAGTGGGAGAACCCGGGGGTGGAATTAAAAGAGGAAACCAGCCTAAATCTCAATGTAGCCCACAGGCGGACTAAATCCAATTCCCCTTTGAATGCCATTGATCCTAGTCTGACTCTAAGCAGGTGCTGACCATTAGATGAGAAGATCACTGTGCATAGGCATGAGTAGCAATAAATCAGTTTAATTGAACCTTCATGTGTAGATCTGATCTTTGGTGCCTGACACTAGGTGATATGAATCGGCAGGGTTGGTATGTTTCAGATCTCTTCAATTAAAGAGAGTTATTCCTTGGGATTCAAGAGGCGTGTCTTCCATCAGAGTCTACTTTCTGAATGAAGCTCCCCCCCCCCAGTCCCAATGGATCCCATTCTGATACAATTCTGAAAGGTCTTTAAAAGCATTGGGCTAGGATGGATGGAGCCCCCTTTGAGTTTGATAGACAGACAGACAGATATAAATAAAGATAAAGATAAATATGTGTATTGTTGATGGATTTGCCTTATTCCTAATTTTGTCTTATTCTACATTTTGTTGGTTTTATATTGCATTTTATTTTCTCTGTTATATTCTGAACTGCCTAGACTAGAGTCGTTCTAGAATCAGGTGGCAACTAAATCAAATATATTAAATTAAAGGCTGCTCCATGTCAGCATATTGTTGTAATCCAAGTGAGAGGAGACTAAGGCAAGAATGATCACGACCAGGAAAAGGTGCAAAAATGTCTTGGCATACCTACCTCTTGCCCTTCCTGCAAGAGCTAGGAATCCTGGAGGACCCCCAGTTCCATCTGAGAAATGCAGTCCTACTGAGATATGGAGTCCACCAAGCAGAATATATTTTTCAGGTTTCAGCAGATTTCCAAGGAGTCTTATATGTTTTATTTGCACTGAATTAGTATAACTGAGAAACACTGGGACAATTAGTTCTATGTTGGTAACTCTGTGGTAGAATATATGGAGTATAATATAAATGGCTACATCATGACAGCCTCCTCCTCCAAGAAATACCTTTATTGTAGCAATGCTTATTGCATAACGTTTGTGGTACAGAACTATAGAAAGAAATAATTTCACCACTCACAGAAAATGCATGGTGAACCATTTTGTATATTTCAGATTGCCTCTAAATCTTCAAATAAACCGTTACATGCTGCAGTAAAATCATACCTTTGAACATAACGATCAAAACAATCTCTATCACATCAAAGATATACATGCATCTCATCATATGGCAACCTTTTCCAGCCTGTCAAGACGTCTTGAACTAATAGTCCCCACAACACCCCCAAATCCATTACATTTGAAAGCCACAAAACAGGGAAAGGTTCAGATCCTTTACCATAAAAATTGTAAACATGCACATCTACTAAATGATTTTTCCCCCCAATTAAGCTTTCTCTCCCCAAAATTTCAGCACTGCAGAAAACCAAAACTCAAGCCTAATTAAAAACATAGCACGGGAATATGGGTGAGCAAACGAGAAAGAAGATCACAAAAAGTAGACAGATGGAATAATAATATAGTAATAAACAAGCCCAGCCCCAGTCCCAGAATCTGGGCGCGTGACTTTGGATCAATCTCAGCCCAGGATTTCTTCTTCTATGGGGGAAAAGGAAGGGAGTTCCCTCAGGGCATCCCCCGGTGGAAAGGACGGGATGTAAGTCTAAGCAACGCAGCCTCTATTACATGCAACGATCCCCAAATAGGAGCCCACGGATCGGCAAGCCAGAGGAACTCCTCTGTTAGGGACCAAGCCTGGGAGAAATCTGCTGCTGGGACGGAGCAAAAGGGAGCGCGGGCGTGGCGAAGTCCGGGGAACCCAGTTTCCAACCACAGGCTCTACAACCCGCCCTCGGGGCGCAGCATCTTCGCAGCGTCCAGCCTAGCATTACGTAGAAATCCTTCTCTCTGTGTGTATTTTGTGTGTGTGTGTGTGTGTAGCACCACGTAGCCCGGCTCGTCCGCCCAGGCCGATCCCCGCGCGTCCTGCCGTTCCTACCCCATGGAGCCTTCCCGCGCGCCCGGCCGGGCTGCAGCCTCCCGACCCCACAAGCGACGTCCACGAACCGGCCGGCTCCCGACGAAGGCGGCGGGCGGAGAAAGAAGAAGAAGAGGCGCCCCCCCCACTCGCCCGCCCGCCAGCCCCACCGGCCCAACCCGGACGCGCATCGCCCGCTCCACCCGCGGGACACTCACACGGCCGGAAACGCCGTCAGGGCCGCGGCGGGACTCGTTCTGGAAAAGCTCCCTTCCCCGCCGCCTCTGCTTTACCTAATGGGGGACAGACGCTTCGCCTGCCAGCCAGCTTCGCCTGCCGCCCTCCGCCTCCGCTGCTGCCTCGCCTCACCGGGGGCGGGACCAGCCTCCCTGGCCGGGTTAGAAGTCTGGCGGGGGAGGAGGAGGAGGAGGAGGAGGGAAAAGCGCCACCCGGGAGGAAAAGCCACTCGCTTTGGGAGGCCCGCCGGATCTCGCCGGCTTTGCCTTCCTTGCGGCGGTACGAAGCAGCTCAGCCTCCCGAAGGCAAAAAGCAAAGGGGAGCCCTTCGCATGCCGTCTCGGACCTCGACGTAAACTCCGAGCTACCTTCTGAGAGCTCTTGGCGGGGAGTTGAAGCTCGCTGATTTGGGGAGGCTTCCCGTTTCGAGATGGCGAGCTCAAAAGCCCCGAGTGGTTTAGCAAACAAAACGGATGGTCATTTTAGGCTGCGGTCATTTTAGGCTGCTGTTAATCAAGTGAATCTCCTCAGAAAGCAGATATGGTTGGCTTCATATGGTATACACACACACACACGTATATGTATACAAATACACATATGTGTATTTGTATACATTTACATATTTGTGTGTGTGTGTGTGTATACCGTATGAAGCCAACCATATCTGCTTTCTGAGGAGATTCACTTGATTAATAGCGCAGGTACTGTATCTTCAGGCCATTAAGTATCCTGCGAGGTTCCGCAGCCCAAAATGACCATCAGTATGTGTGTATATATGTGTGTGTGTAATACACATATGCATACATATATGCATGTATAAGTATATACACACTATAAGGATGTAGTTGTGTGTATATATCTCTATCATCTATCACAGGGCTTTTCAACCTTTTCACCCATTGTACCATATGGCAACATCCGAGTACCACCAGCAAGGTGTGAAAAACTTGATGAAAAAAAAAGTGATAAAGTACAGGTAGTCCTCGACTTACAACAGTTGCTTAGTGACTGTTCAAAGTTACAATGGCACTGAAAAAAATGCCACCCAAGCCACAGCCGAGCAAGACGCTTGCCCACCCGGCGGCGCTCTTCCTCCTGTCCGAGGTTTTCATTGTTGTGAACATTTCTGTTGAGGATTGGCAGCGGGGGTGGAGTGGGGGGGTGTTTGGTTTTTATCCCCCCCCCCCCATCTGCTGGATGATTGCAGCAGGTTTTGGTCACTTCACATGACCCTGGGACACTGTGACCATCATAAATATGAATCAGTTGCCAAGCATCTGAATGTAAATCACAAGACCCTGGAGATGCTGCAACATTCCAGCTGATTGGCGCTTCTTCTGGGCTCAGCAGAAGTACCAGGATCAGTGCCGAGCTCCAGCTGGAGCCTGGCGCTGATCCTGGCGCTTCCACTGAGCCCTGACAGCCCTGCAGCTCCAGCCATCTCTCACTCAGGCTTGTGCGCTGCTACCACCGGTTCAGCTCATTCCCCTCCCCCACTACCACTTTTCTAGGATGGTTGCGTATCACCTGCCAGGTGCCAATGTACCACAGGTGGTACCCGTACCATTGGTTGAAAAGCTCTGATGTATCATGTATCTATCTATCTATCTATCTATCTATCTATCTATCTATCTATCTATCTATCTATCTATCTATCTATCTATCTATCTATCTATCTATCATCTATCTATCTATCTACCTACCTACCTACCTACTTATCTACCTACCTACCTACAGCTAGTCCTTGACTTAAAACCACAGTTGAGTCCAAAATTTATGTTGTTAAGTGAGACAGTTGTTACGTGAGTCACTACAGTTAAGATAGTAATATGGTTGTAAAGTGAATCTTCCACATTGAGTGCTCGTCAGAAGGTCACAAAAGGGATCAAATGACTCTAGGATACTGCAACTGTTATAAGTCAGTTGCCAAACATCTGAATTTTGATCAGGTGGCCACGGGGATGAATCAAAAGTCATAAGGGTGAAAAATGGTTATAGGTCATTTTTTTCAGTGCCTTAAATTTAAACCGTCATTAGATGAACTGTTGTAAGTCAAGGACTACCTATATATTTATGTGTATATATACATATGCACACATATCATTAGATATACATATCACTCTATACACACACGTAGCCATGATAGAAATAAATCAGAATGAATGCATATATCCCCATAAGTTAGGAATATATCATAAATAAATGAACGCACCTCTGTATCAGAGGAAGCTTTTGGTATGGCTTCAGACTGTAAGCAATTCAGCTGAGAAATAATTTAGAAACCACAAATAATTGAGGTTAACACATAAAAAATGTGAGGCAGCACTCCGTTCTTCACCCTTGGATTTGTTTACTCAGCCATGACCTTGGGAAATTGGAAAGCAAAACTAAGAGAATTTTGTTTTTCGTATGCCTGTCTCCCACAAGCTCTGCCTGACCAGTTAGACGCCACTCTGGTTTTCTTCGATTAGATAAATGCCAGTCTCAGGACTCTCAAAAAGTGCACTTTCTCTGTAGCAGCCCTGCCCTTTGGAATGAGGTCCCTTAAGATCCAGATTGCCCCCCGTAGCCCCCCCTCTGCTATTGTTCAGAGCCTTCACCAGACCTTTGGCGAGGGACAGCCCCCCCCTCCATTGCGTCTGCCATCTTTTTTCTTTTCTTTATTGTGGCATACAGGTAATCTTCAACTTACAACCAGTCACTTAACAACTGTTTGAACTTATTACAAATCCGCAAGAGCTACTTCCAGTTCCAAAGTTATGGTGCCTCCTCCCACCCACCCCGTAGTTACATGATCGCATTTTGGACACTCACCAACCAATCTGCATTTACGGCTGTTTGCAGCACCCATGGTTGTATGACTGCAATCCGCAACAATTTTTCCCAGAAATCAGTGTTTTGCTTTCAGTTCCTGAGAAAATATGCCCAGTAGGGGACATTGGTTTTCATGTCATGACTCATTTTACAACCATCTCAATTTATGGACATAATTGCCAGGGTCAATTATGGTCGTACGTTGAGGACTACCTATACAAATTTAATACATTATCATCATCATCATCATCATCGTCATCGTCATCGTCATCATCATCGTAACCTTGAGCCAATTTTTATGTTATCCTATACAAAATACAGATTGTTTGAAAAAAAAAAAAGGCTCATAAGTGCTTGCTTTAATCGTTATTAGCTTGAATCTCCTGTTGCTGAAGTGAACATGACAAATAACAGGAGAAGGGACATAGATAATACTATAGTTCAATCATTTGTCATCAAGAGCCACTGAATTCAGGAGGAATTTGCTTTCAATCTGATAAAGCCTAAACACAATTTTCTATGATCTCATATACACCCACTTGAGATAAAATCCCACTGAAACTGAACTGGGAGTTTAAATAAACAGGCTGCGGGAGAATCACCAAAAACAAGATAATAACAAATTAATCCCAAACTAAATCTTAGACAACAAGCTTAGTTTCTTATATTTATTTATAATTGCAGTAGTTGGAAATTATTTCATCTCAGTTTAAACATCATAATGGTTTGTTTAATCACAACCAAAGGAAGGCTCAAGCACACAGCAGATCGTTACACTATTCTCTTACTTTTGGATGGGTCCGTTTCATTTCCTCACTGTTTGATCTTACAGCACCTAAGTTTAATGCTACATGGATTAATGACAACGCTAAAACACTGATTGTACATATTTGTAGGAATTTAGATGATTCTTAAACTAGACTGGGTGATAATCATTAAGAATGAATATGCATATATGTGTGTTGTGTTTAAATTATATAACATTTGTAAAGTCAAAACTCTAAGTAAATAACTCCCTACACAGAAAGCCTGCCTTGTATTAATCTTCATAGATACAGGGTTGAATTATTGGGACCATTAGTTGCTGAAGAAAATGAAAACTAGGTTTATTTTTTACCAGTTATATAATAAGTAAATATTTACCACATTTTGATTTCCCATTCTATTTTACACACACACACACACACACACACACACACACACACACACACACACTCCCCTCCCCCCCAACCAATGTATAAGTATACTTCCTGGTAACCTTGTATTCAAAGATTAAAACTCAGTTGCAAATGGAACAAAAACAAAAACAAAATTTCGGTATATTATGTGGTTGAAATAGGCTGAATTTTCCACATGTATTAAGACAACAGCATTGAAAAAGGAAGGATTACTCTCTTGAAGTTCCATGATTCGTAATGGGCATTACTTCTGAGTAAATATATTTATAATTGAGATAAAGAAAATTAATTACAACACTTGCTATATTCAGGTAGGAAAAATCTAAATGAAACGGCATATAATTTTTCTTAAATAAATATACTATACAGATAGTCCTCGATTTACAACAGTTCATTTAGTGACTGTTCAAAGTTACAACAGCACTGAAAAAAGTGATTAGACCATTTTTCAGTCTTACATTTGCCACATTCCGATGGTCATATGATCAAAATTCAGACACTTGGCAACTGGTTTATATTTATGACGGTTGCTATGTCCCAGGGTCATGTAATCAACTTTTGCAATCTTCTGACAAGCAAAGTCAATGGGGAAGCCAGATTCTTTTAACAATCAGGTTACTAACTTAAAAACTGCAGTGATTTACTTAACAACGTGGCAAGAAATGTCGTAAAATGGGGCAAAACTCACTTAACAAATGAGTCACTTAACAACAGAAATTTTGGGCTCAATTGTGGTCCTAAGCAGAGGACTATCTTTATGATCAAATCAGCTGATCTTTTATATAACATTTAAAAAATATTTTAAACTTATATATTTCTAAAAAATTATCTGGCACTGATGGCATCATTAGTTGACCAACTTGAGCCTTGTCTATATTCAGTTAGCAAGGCTTTATACACATCAATTCTAGGAAATGGAAGAAAACGAAAAGATTTTGGAAAGTTTTTTTACTATTCCAGCTAGAAATACACACATATTGTACATGTCATAACACCTGCCCTCTGAAATGATGTTCCTACCCCCAAGATCTGCCATTTCTCCCATCTTCTGGCATTGCAGAAAGCCTTGAAGACCTGACTCTTTGGCTAGGATGGGTGCAGCTTCTTCTGAGGAGTGGGTTTTGTTCTGTCATTTTTGTTTTATGGATTATCTTATATTGCTACCTTGTTTTCAAGGTGAACTCTTGTGAACTCCCTAGGGCTGCTGCTATATCTTTACAGAATTTTATCAGACTCACAACACATAGGAAGAGACATGAAGATTACACACCCACACGCACACGCACGTACGTCCATACGAGGAACCAAACAAGGTCAAGAATACGTCACGGACTTATAAACATTTCTTACGTTAATCATTTTATATAGGGTACAAGAAAGAGGGTTCCATCGGTTTTGTATACTAATTTTTAAACCACTTTTCTTTTCCTATAACTTTACCCTGTTATATCCTTCGATGGTTATAAGTGAGGAAAAGGCTTGTTGAAACTGAAAGAAGAAAGTGCAGAAGTTGGTTTGCTACTTAAATATTTTTTTTAAAAAACATAATATAATGTCAACAGACAATACCATCTCAGTGTAAATAAGCTGAAAAGAAGAAGTAACAGTCTTTTATCTACTTAGACTCAAACACTCACAGAGAAGGTGTTTGCGGCTGCAACATGGGACAAAAACTGACAGATCCAGCAAAATATTAAAATGCAGCGATATTACATTGACCGCATAGGTAAAATGACAAATTTTCCAGCTGCAACATATAGCAGTGAAAACTGGACCATTAAAAGGGATGACAGAATTAATGTCTTTAAATTACATTGAGAATGCCTCGGATCACAAAATAACAGTTTGAAGAGACCTTAGAGGTCTAATAGTGTTCAGGCAGGAGATCCTATATCATTTTAGACAGATAAAATAAAGCAGGACATAAGCACTACATATGAGGCTAAAACTTTGGACACACAGCGTACAGACAAACTTCACTGGCGACGTCCTTGATGTCTGGAAAAAGTCAACCAAGAAAAGGCCAACAAAAGTGAGCTCATACAACCCACAATAACATAAATACCAGTTTACACTGAATCAAGAAAACAGTTATTGAACTGTTATAAAATCTTGGCGAAATGATGTGCTGGGAACACTGGTCTCCATCTACTTTTTTAACACTAGTTGCAGATAGAGTTGGAAAGGTCTGAATGACAACAAACACGTATCAACCTGTGCCTTCAGGGGTTGTGGGAGCTCCATCGCTGGAGGCTTTTAAGAAGAGATTAGACATCCGTTTGTCTGAAATGGTATCGGGCAGGGGTAGGCAACCTTGGTTCTTTTGACTCGTGGACTTCAACTCCCAGAATTCCTGAGCCAGTATGGCTGGCTCAGGAGTTCTGGCAGTTGAAGTCCACGAGTCATAAAAGCCAAGGTTGCCTACCCCTGGTATAAGGTCTCCTGCGTGAGCAGAGGGTTGGACTAGAAGACCTCTAAGGTCCCTTCCAACTTTGATGATGATTGTGCTAAGGCGTAACCAAGAAAGACTTTGTGATCTATCCCAAAACGTGAACCAAAGGAAGGAAAATTGCAACATCCAAAGCCTCGGATCGCTTTCCAGAACTTTCAGAATTATTGGGGGGAGGGGCAGAATTCTTTTATTTCAACGCATGATTTCCTCCCTTATCCCTCCGGTAGCCGCTTTAAGTTAGAAACCGGAAGTGAGGGCTGCGTCCGACGGTCACATATTTATCTCTATGATACTTAACGAGCACCTCAAACTGATGGCTCGAAAACTAGAGACTCCTCTAACAAAACACAGGGAGGCCCTCTCCGCGCTGGAGGCCCTTTACTTCCGGCTAGATCTCGCCTGTCGCGCGCAGCTCATTCGATTTTCAGCCTCCCCCCCCTCCCGCCTCCTTGCCCGCCCACAACAGCCCTTAAATGACAGATGTGAAAGAAGGCGAGGGCATTGTCATGGCAACTCCCTAGAAGCAGGCGGAAGAGCCAATCAGATGGACGATTTAACGGAGGAGAGGAGATGACGACACGAGGAGGGCGCACCGCGTACTGATTTCGCGCGGGAGATTTAGTCGGCTTTGTGGTGCTTTTCGTACAGATTGCTGCTAGTCGGTGAGTAGTTTCTTAAGTGGATTCCCCCTCTTGTGTAGGTGATGTCACCCCAGTGGGATCCTACACGCGTTTTATTCATTAGTTAGTTTGACTGAATTCTGGAGAGGGTTTTCTTTTATACAAGTACGGCACCAAAATCCTGCGGTGGTCCATTTCTGCCTCGGGGGGGGTCCTTGGTGCTCCCTGAACTTTTGGTGGTTTCCTTGCAGGCGTTTCATTAGCCAACTAGGCAACACTACACACTGGTGATGTTTGGTAATGAAACGTCTGCAAGAAAACCTCCGAGCTCAGGGAGCACCAGGGACCCCACAGGCCAAACCCTGAGCTACAAATTAATATTCTCCTCTGTCGGCTCTCTGCCTCTCTTCGGATGTGTGGGGACCATAATTCCAGAGAGAAGACCTCGTTCCGGCAGATCCAAAGGGTGTTGACAACATGATGCCTCCTCCCATTTAAACGAGGCAAGGAGTACTCAAAACAGTGCTGGACTAAAATGCATCTTCAGAATTTGTACAGGTAGTCCTCGACTTACAACAGTTCATTTAGTGACTGTTCAAAGTTACAACCGAAAAAAGTGACTTATAACCATTCTTCACATTTATGACCTTTGTAGCATCCCCACGATTGTGTGTTTAAAATTGAGATGCTTGGCAACTGGTTCATATTTATGACCGTTGCTATGTCCCAAAGTCATGTGATCACCTTTTGACAAGCAAGGTTCACTTAACAACCAGGTTACTAACTTAATTGCAATGATTCACTTAACAACTGTGGCAAAAAACGTCATAAAATGGGGCAAAACTCACTTAACAAATGTCTCACTTAACAGTAATTTTGGGCTGAATTGTGGTCATAAATCGAGGACTACCTGTATTCTATTGGATGAGCTGAATTCATTCATTGTGGATAATTTACGGTTCAATATATTGTGTGGAAGCACTTGATTGGATTAAGTGTGAAACTATAGACTGTTTATCCATGTCTTCGCATGTTTAGCAAATAGATAATATGGTAATACAGGTGACCTCATTAAATTAGCAAATCATATTTCTTTTAGCCATAAATCTCTAGTCATTTAGGGTCAGATGTGGTTTACAGGCTTCATTCTTGTTGCTTCTTTTAAACTGAGCATTAAATTGCTACCAGTAACCAAGGAATAAAAGGTTTTTGCTGTAACAGTATACCGCAGGAGAAGCTTAGCCTCAATCCACTTTTATAAAAGTATTTGTGGAGAGGAGATTAGCCTCCTCTTGTCCATATTTTCCATTTGGGGGCAATGAACATTTGTTGTTCATTTCCTGTACAGTAAAGATGTCCGCAAACTGAGTTCAATTCCTGGTGACTGCCTCATGCTATTTCCTTGTCAGTGTCTTGATTTTTACAAAATGTAAAGTTTGAATTGCTTTTAAAAATATGTAGCTGTGGTTTGGAAGAAAATCATAACATCAAAACATGTAACCAAGCCTAGAAGCAATTTGATCCCAGAATAAAACTTGTATTGTTATATATGTAATGAATATTC